CCACGCTCAAATCCCACACAGATACGGGTAAGTTGGACGCCATGAACGCCACAAATTATATCCCACACGCCTACGCCGAAACCGCCGCTACACTGTTTTTTTCCCACCAGCGACACACTTCTAGAATTTCATTTTTCCCCTTCATTTCTCGCTTCCAATATTTCCATCCCCAGCCCATAGATTTCCCCCTTTCACCTCCCCCTCTCCCCTCACCGTACCACCGCATTGCAATAACTTTCACTCCACTCATTCACTCTCATCTCCCCCGGCATTGCGGCACGATTACAATTGCGCTAAATATGACGTTACTAAGGCTTGTTATTTACACTGTCACTCTTGCAATCGCTGGTTATCTCTCCAGAACCGTGCAGCTATTCGGCGGGATGCAATTGAGACAATACGGAGGCATATACTGGGATCATCAGATCTTGCATCAATTCTCATGTCAATGACAAGGGGAACCTGGGTGAAGATGGAGACTAATTGTTTAGGGAAAGCTTGATTGCGAAATTGACATTTTGGAGGTGGAGCAATGGAAATGGTTTATTTACTTGGGCTAAACTTATTATACAACACACTGTAGATAGTTATCTGAATAACCTGGATATGAATTCATAGATGCTGCAATTGTTTTGGGTAATATTAAGTTATCATCAAGATGAGTGAGTCTGAGTACGGTGCAGGGTAAAAGGGCTTCTTCCTCCTCTTCCCGGCACTCGGCCTTTCTTCCCCCAAGAAATACTGGAGAAAATTCAATAAGAAATAACACATAACGCGGTCAAAACATACGAACCCTCTTTGCAAATGGAAAAGACGCGACGGAACCTACCAACTGCGCATCGGTAGCCTCATGCATCTCTCTTTGGCAATACGATGGGTGGATGAAGGAAGTGTTCATCCTTCCACTATACAAACCTTCTGTCGCTTGGAATGTCTTTGAAAATTAGGTCAGCTCGATCAACGTCCAGTAAGCGCTCTCATCTTAACCTCCACTTTTGACCGGTGTGAGGAATACTGGTATTGGAAATACCGAAAGGATACCGTAATAACCGTTCAATTCCCTCAAATTCCCCATCGCAATTATCACAGTCGTCTGGTCGGCTCTAGGTAACGACGTAACTATCCAATATATCCGATCCGAGGCTCCTAATGTAGTGATACCGTTACATCCCTTTCATCCCATTGCAATAGCCTCGGAATTAATACCGTCAGTTCCTTTCGAGCGCCTAGAACTAAAAATACCTCAGGCTACCTGAGTTGGCTCCGAAAGCCTGCGATAACATCATTTTTCCTTCATCTGCATTTGAACACAAAATGGCTGGTTGCAATACAACAAGTGCTGGGCATGCTTATCTTTGGCGTGGCATTTGCTTGGAAGGAAACTCAAAGTTTCATCCTAATTCATTCACGCAATCCGGTCCGTTGCATCTTTAGGAATTAGATAGACAAGTTAGTAGGATTGACATATCACACGATAAACATAGTGATGTTGTTGACGTCGTAGTATCCAGAAGTCTACAAGTGCTAATATCATATTATTACGAAACGAATCGCTCTCCTTACGTTCAGATTTGCCCATTCAACACCAAGAAACTCTATCAACGTCACAAACCTGTGTTAGCATGGCGTAGCCAATTAATGCTGTGTCAAATATTCCTCTCTCATCCATATCAAATCTGCCCAGAATAGATCACCCACCCTGATAAACTTCGGACAAATAACTGACATTCAGGGATTCAGTTCTGTTTCTGAAAAAGGGCCTTACTTTTTGGGGTACTCCGTATTTTCCCTTGGGGTATCAAACTACCCCATGGATAGTCGCAGACGCTCCAAGTCTTGGTTTCTGCTCGCCAACAGCGCTCTTCCTGAGACTTCCTCCTACATCCTTATTAGTAAGACTACTCGCATACCGTAAAAATCCTAGTCAAATAACATTTGCCATGAAGCAGTAGAGTTTTCGTCTTGCAGCTTGATCCTCATTCTCGGCCGTTTGGTTTGGTTTCGCCTCATCTCATCGGTCAAATTTGAACCCTGCAGAATTTTAGATGCTGCAAATGCAATGTAACTCTTTACTTACACAATGGGCGATTTACGGATGCGACATTTGGTGACGAAAAGGAAGTTTATTTTGATCACGTGAATGTCAGCTTCTACGAACAGCGCATTTTAATTTTCTTCTGGGTGATTACACAAGGCGGGTAGGTACAGTGAGAGAGACATACGTCAGAATCTGATCGGGAACTGGGGCCCTGGTCTTGGGGGGGGAGGGGGCAAACCGGAAATATTTTATATCCCTCATTCTTCGCAAGGGTTTGAATGCGACAGGCACGCGAGCAAGCAAGAAAAAATACCTTGATTTGATCAATTAATTGATGTAAGAATCCGTATGTAAGTCAGAGTGAACCATTGGAAGTTTACGAGTTTGCCGCCACCTTTCGTTTTCCAAGCTCAGCTTTCTCGAACTGCCTGCAGAGACTGGTTTGATCGCTCTCCCCGATGAGATGAGATGAAGTCAGAATATTCTGACCATGATGTTCCAAATTCGATTTTTCTCAGGCACTGTTTCGGTGTGTAGTACAACCTCAACACATCTTATTCTAGGCGTCTTCTAGGCGTTCAAGCCTATTAGGCCAAGCAGCCATGACCTAAAAATGAGAGAGTCGAGTGCTATCCAGGTTATACGTAGGCTACGCCAGCGCCGGTCAATCCGACACGACAATCGACGAAACGAAGAACAAAAATTTATCTCACTACTGCATGGAAGAAAGTCTTGACAGATTGCAGACATTGTGTTCTTCCAATAACAATCGAGCAAAAGATGATTAGTTTCTCAGCTGCTTCCCAATCTCATTACTTCTTGGGGAATTGATTTGATGGGTGCACGAGCATACAAACCACTACAAAAGCTAGGTGCAAAATTAAGCGACAATGAAGGGGAAATCCTTGGAACCGTTGGTTAATGTTTCCAATTTCCTCCGACGCCAATCTGCACCTCCACGGACCTTATGGTACGAAATTTATAGGCCAATGGACTTGTTTAGACACCCCACGAAAGTATGGTTGATTTTCAACAACATGATTCGTGTTCACACATAGTGGTTTTTCGAATTATCTAGTTTACACAGCAAATGTCTTGACGGGTGAAGATTTTGGAGTGTGAGAAGTCATTGAATACGGTAGGGCGCAAAACTACCAGGAAAGACCTTACAAAACTTGTTAAATCGTGCTTTGATCTAAAATTCCCGAAGTCGGCAGCGGGATGGGCTGCAGATGGAGCTAATTGAAGGGTGTATCGTTTCCAATTTACATTTCAATTCACATCTGTAATGAAAAGTCAAACAATTCAAATCAAATGCCGTCTCAACACGCTTTTCGTCCCTTCTTCGGACCAAAGTCAATTTTTTCTTGGTGCTTTCGGTTGATGTTGCTCTCACTCTGCCCCCAAGTACAGTACCTCTTGTGGGATTGGTTTCAAAAGATTTTTTTTATATGGAGATCAAACGACATGAAATCTTGGATTCATTTATTCATACAGGAAATCCTAGACAATAGGAAAGAATGAGTTGATACCAAGAGAAACATCAAATGGCATCCATGGAATGAGCAAATATCGTCCTATTGAGCATCTTAATTCTCCTTTCTCATTGCGACAAGTGTCTCGATCGCATCCCAAATTCAGAATTCAAAACACAAAAAAAGATCAAACGAGGTACCAATGTTCAATGTAGGTTTTGACACATTCGAAAATATCCCAATTTTCTGAAATAACATCAATATCAAACTCCCAACAAAACACATTACTCAAGGGGCGGGGTTTGACTTTCGTCTGAAATTCACTCCGCCATATAGTTTTGACCCCATCATTGTGAAGCTTCCAAGAAAGGGGTCTGTATGCTTGGCTTGAATGTCCCATACATGTTGAAACGAGAAATGAATATCTGTGGCAATTTGGCGAAATAAAAATTTCAAATAGAATATGTTAGGTGAATTGGTATGTCGTTTCACTGGTATTTTCGATCGGAAATTCTAAAGCACGGTAATAACACCAATCACGCGGTTTTAAAAATCTAAACGATCCTCAGACATACCAAGCATACTCTCCAAACATTTTGATATACGGTAAGGCATTTCCTTCACGGTCGAGGTCAAGATGGAGGGCGATTGTTCGTGCGCACGGGAAGATCTGTATATGATATGCAAATCATCTCAGGAGTCAGTTGAACTTAGCGACCGAGCTACAAGCTCGGTCCTCTTTCATGGACGAAGGAAAAATATAATGGGTGTTTCATGCTTTCTTGGAGTGGAAGAAGAAAGAAGCGATTGTGTTAGGGCTGGAGGTGGCGTTGGGAGTCAGTATTTGTGGTTTGGGGGTTGCTTTATTGGGGTTTGATAAGGTGAGGCTCTATTCGAGAGGTGGAGTATTGAGATTGAGGATGTGATATTGGGATGTGGTCTATGGGTGTGGTCTATGGTTTAATGGCTGATGGTAGGTGATAATCAGTTGTTCCAGTGCCAGAGTCGTTAAGGATGGGAATTATTCGTAATTAGAAGAAAAAGTTGAATCTAGAAAGTCAATAATATACATCATAATTTCTGCTTTGATCTGATATCAAAAACTTGCCACAGAGCCGGATTTCTTGTACAAATTATTTCCATAACCAATATCTAAACCATACCACGAATTGAAACTTCTGAATCAACACATCATATTAATTATAATGATTCAGTTCGAACTGTTAATTCTCGATACCCTTACATCCTTATGAACTGTCGTTGAAATGCAGTCCGAAAAGAAATTATTGATTACGTGAGTTTTGTTACACAAAAATGACCCGCATCTCAAAAAGTGAATGGCAATTACCCAAAGAGGAAATTTCAACTTCCAAATCTGAAATTTTGAGGATTTGATAAGCATCAGATGCTTTGAATTTGTCTTTGTTGCCCGTGGAATATTTATTCTTCAGATATCTTCATCTAACTGTGATAATTCGTGTATTCTTTCTTGTAACGTGAAAGGGCAAGATTATTACCCCTCTTTTGTGAAATTCCCTCATTTTTGCCTCAAAGACATAGAATTCAAGTTTTATATCCCTCACCATGATGGATGCCACACAGCTTATAGGTACAGATGGTCCCAAAGTCAATGTACATAAGAATTGGAATATCCCAGGTAAAATTCAGTGGAAAGCCACCGAATTTCACTTCAAAGAAAGTCAGGTGGGAAGCAAATCCTCAACGTCAACTCATCCTCCATCGGCCACAACTATCAACTGTAAAGAGGGAGGACCAAAACAAAAGTTCGCATTCGTCGATTTATCATCTTCTGGAACAAAAACAGATGTTAATGTACGAAAGTTCGTGCGCAAGCATGTGAGGAATGATTTCCTAAGCAAAACGATTCGGAAAAGTAAAGGGGATCCGAAACTCCGTTCGAAATGTATAAAACCTTTCGTGGAACCCAAGTCAGTCATATCTGATCATCACCAACATGATGGTCTTATTATTGAGGATCTCATCGGGTTTCCGACTGCACTCAGCTTGTCTCCATGGCCTATTGAGATGACGACAAGAACGCACCGGTTGCTGAGCCGATATTTTACGCATGTTAGTTCGAGAATGTACCCATTATCCAAATATCTTTCTTCCAATCCTCTACGTTCAGATGAATGGTTTCGTTTTACAATCAACGATGCAGCGATGTTTCATGCGATATTATATGCTGGCGCAATCTATCTCTCCTTGCTTCAAGGTGGGAAGGACTCGGAAGATTCAATGTACCACCTTGGCAAAACCTTAGAAATAGTCAAGGAAAAACTTCAGAATGGGAAACCAGTCGACGATAGCACTATTGCTGCTTTGTCGTGTGTAGCTTTGGGGGAAGTATGTTTACATTTCGATATCAAATTTTGCTACGTGATTATTTGATATCTACTAAACTTCCACTTAGGCAAATACGGGCCATTCAGATCTATGGCATATTCATATGCGTGGTATACAACAAATGATAAACACGCGAGGCACGATGTCGTCTCTTCCTATGATTATACAGACAAAACTTCGTCGGTAGGTAATTTTACTAAAATATAGAAAAACCTCATTCTAATTATCTTCAAGGTCTGATATCACTGGTGCGATTGATTATGCTGCTGAACCATATCTTTACTACAAGCCACGAAATCATCCTGAAATATCAATATCTAAAATTCTACCGGTGCATAGAATCAGCACCATCAATGCTTACATTGAAATTTCACTCGCTAGATGCGGTATTCACTCAAATCTCATACGGATAATGCAATATCTAGCTATCTTCTACCAGTCCATACAGTTCGCCTCATTAAGCAGAATTCTTCTCGACCCAGGAGAGTTTGTTGATGATATTTACTGGATTGAGTATGAATTGTTATCGTTTCCCCTGTCTCTAGAAGGAGACCAAGAACCTACTATCGACAAAGCAACTCGTATCGGAGCTCTACTATTCATGAAGTCGATACTTGAAGAATACCCACATTCCTCTACTGGTCCTTCTATCCTTTTACAACAATTACAAGAATCTCTGTCCACAATTGATACCGCTACAACCACAGAACAAACATGTCAATGGCTGATTTGGTTATTTACTATTGGCGCTGTTCATTCAAAGCGGAATCTTATCACACGAACTTGGTTTGTGGAGCAATTGGCGGGGTTGCATATGGAGCGCCTGAGAGATTTACTAGTTGACGGGCAAGTACATGCAGAGCTACATGCAGAGAAGTTAGAAGAAGAAGAAGAAGACGAAGGAGAACTTCAATTGTGGAGATTATTGGAGCTGAGACAAGTTATTGGAGAGAGAGATCTCTTCCTACTTTGGGATGATGTTGCTCGGTGGAGACGAGAATCTTACGGTTTTGGGGAAGGGAATTGAAGATTCCGGGCTTGGTGATTTCTTGGGGCTGGGCTGGCTACTGACGGATGGTACGCTACCAAGTTACCTTAGGATACATGCATATCTGCAAACATCACCACTACTCATGTACCTCTGGGGACAAATCAGACCGACTCAGATGATGTCGTATGACAGGGAAAATATGGAGATAGTTCGGGGAGGTAGCACATAACACGAATCAGCCCTGTCCACACTAAGAAGATTCTATGGCTTCCAAGATCCTTCTAGACTATTACCCAAACGAGTCAATTAATATAATTCAGATATCAAGAGAAACCAAATCCGCAAGTCTACGTGGCGAATTTTGAACGATGGGTCGTTCGTTCGCCTCAAACTTCAAAGTCAATTTCAGTTCCGCGGTTTGTGGTTTCTGGTGGAGAAATTTGTATGTATGTAGGGACATAGCTTATACATACCCGGGGATTGCTATAGGCCATCCAATCATTTCAACTGTAGCGTTACAGCGTCACAAGCAGTTTAGAGTGGGTTGCCGGTATTGATTTATCGGAAGATGCCTCAAAGACTCCATATATTTTCCATCGGAGAAACACAAAGAATTGACCGATCGTATGTGCCGTTCTTACCGCGTGGAAGAACTTCTTTTCAATGAGGGATTTACTGGGATATAATTTTTTGCAGTGAGATTTACATATGTGGGCTGGGAGCCGATCGTTCCGATTTCTTGCTGTGATTCGTGAGACGGAAGTGAGACGCGTCGATAGAGAGTGCTTTCCATGTTGGGTTACGCGACAGGATTGAAGGATTTATTTCGCCGTCATATGGAATGGAGGGTAATAGTAGAAGGCCCGGTTTTTGGCAGAACCAGTAGGAAATATACCTCAGTGGGTACAAATGTGCGAAGCTGGAATTAGATAGATGGATAGATGAATGTGTGTGTTAGTCAAATTGGAAATGGATTCCAAGAAGATGGTCTAGATTTTAGAATGTCGCGACAAGAAGGGTCGAGGAATTGCCGGATGGTACTCTACATCGTATAATTGCTTGGTCGACGCTGTCGATTGCAATTCCGCTTGCAAGCAACTCCGTTACCGCTAAATGAAGGAGTTTCGACAATCTCTGGGCACATCCACAAGTAAGGTCTCCTGAGTAGCGAGACTTTGATGGGAAAATCCTGTTGAAGCCAACTTCATGATGCAAAAGCTAGGCTGCGTCGGCGATATTTGCATCAATTCCTTATTTCGGCCCAAGGCTAGAGAATGTTGATAAACTGCTCTCACTGCCACTGCGCACTGCCACTGCCACTGGCATATCGACCGGTATTGGCATACGGTACCGACAGTACAAGTGTTCGAACTCTATTCTCTATTCCGGTGATGCTGCTAGGATCTCACTCCGATCACTTCGCACGTAGGCAATAAGCCAAACTCTGGATTGAAGAATGAAGATCTCATCAGTGATAACATTGGCGTTGGCCTATTATTCCGGAATTGACAGTTGGGTTGAATGTCGATTTTTAGACCATTATGGTTCTTCTCGTTGATGACAGCTGGATTCGAAATGGACATGGTATGGAAGGAACAGCATTTTGTTGCGATGATGTTAGCTCTTTTGACAAGTGCCGTTTCTTCTGGGATAGCCCGGCTCTATTTCTTCGTTCTTGGTGGTTGTTAGGTGCTGGTTATAGTATTAGGTATCAAGTAGTATGTACGGAGAGCAAGATACTTTGTACTTTCAATAAAATTTTCCCTGTACCTAAAGTTTTCTCTCATCAAGGTCTTCGCTCTGAGATCTACAACTTCACGGGTGTTGATGTATAATATGTACGGAGAGGAATATACACTGTGCTAGTAGAAATGCCTTCTCTACCACGAACCTAACAATTCTCTTTCACCACGTGTACTTGCATTCGATTACTTTCAGCTCTCCAGACATGACTTTGGCCTAAACTATCGCGTACTAGATAAGAGAGAGGAATACATACTGTACTCGCAAATTTTAAACCTCCTCCTGCTAGCATCATGAGGTTGAGGGATCGCCAAAGCCAACTCATATTCAGCTTTATCTTTGGACAGGCTGCCCACGAGACTCACCCCGCGCCTTTGAATTAAGCTTGACGTTGATCATCCCAAGCATTATTTCATCTTTTCTATTTTTAATCCATTGTGCGGAAAATTAAGCTCATGAGTATACTTGGCATCGACTTGGCTTAAAACGGTGTCGATTTCATCATGCATATTGATATTGTTGTTGACGTCAACATGAAATTTCTTCTTTTGGATACACGTCAGTAGCGTATTTCTCTCGCTGTTTTAGGAATTTGACAGCTTATCCAAATCCGGGGGATCGACACATCGCCTCTGTTTTAGTGTTGATTTGGTCTTCCTCCTTCTTGGAGTCTTCTCGGAATACCGTATAGTAGAGGGAATCAATAGTATTTTGATCGGTTTGGGTTTTTGAGGCACTAGGTAATTTGCAGGCAAGAGAATGACTCACTCAGAGATGGACTCTTTTTTAGCTCTGCGACTGGGATTTTATCGTTCTTGTCCTATTAGTTTGAGCATTTTCCTGATTACCTTGTAGTTGAATGGTCAAATTGATGGGTTAGGTGACTTGTACAGTTGTGGTAAAGATCGCTTTTTAGAGCCTGCTGGTAGTTAATAAGCAAGAAATTTCCGATGATATCTGACATCTAGACTAGTTTAGTTGCATTGTCAACTTGGCTCTAGTAGATCTGGGTTTCACAAGATTGATTGGTCATTCATTCTTTACTAAAGAGGCAATGATGTGGTGTACATCCGGGGAAGTTATATCATATACCGGGATTTATAGACTAAAGAGTATTCTATCAATGTAGAAACACTTTTATATGTGATGATTAGGATTGGGTTAGAATATCATTTTGGTGTGCTATTAGGCTTTAAATGGTGGTTGCGACTCTGGGAATATAGTCTGGTCAGAGTAGCACTTGTAATGAAATCATTGTCCTTCACGTCTACAACAAGTACATCTGTGCCCGGAAACCCAAGAGTATCTATTGCGCCATCTGCGCTAGAAAATACCAAACTTTCTGTTATTGAGCCGGCCGGAGGGAGAAACCTATAATGTAATAGATGGAAGCACATTGCCATCTTTCGTTTGAGGATAGACCGACTTGTTTCTACAAGTAGAATGTAGGCGTCATCGTCACTCTTCCCATCTAGATCTATTGAAATTCCAAATATGATTGTGATCACAACTTTCCTGCTTGATTATATGCGTCACTTCGTGGTTGTCAAGAGTTAGGTTTTTTATATGTCTACATCAGTAAAGTTGGAAATGAAAGAGTAGTGCTGGTGACGATGTAGAAGCCAAAGGTAGATTCAGTAATCTTTACCTTCATTCACATTTACAACCGAGAGCTTCCATTCATGCTATTGTTTTGAGTGGGCTTAGGATGATATACTATGTATTTTCTTCTACACTCCTGACTTTGTACTGCTTGACTGAATGTATCTGTAAATGATTAGCTCCACGGGTTGAAGAAATGAGTTTGTTGCACATCTCTGTGTGCCGCAGTTCCGAAGGTTGCGGTAGTATAATACAGTAAAGGAGATGGAGGTGAGTATTAACATTCATTGCCATCTATAGATGTGGTATTTTAATTGACTTGGATAGATACTCTACAAATATTTCCTTAACCACTACAGATCATAAAATCAAATAGCATGTTGAAATCTTTATTACGTTATGTTCCGCATGTTCAATCTTTCATTGTTGTCCACTGGTTACCAACTCTATTGCACATTCTGGCAGGTTGGAAGGATATCATGTTGCGTGTTTCTTCTGGTTTGTGTGTCAAAAGAAATGTTTGAGAAGATTTCTATTACACGTCATGATAACTCCCTGTCGCATATCTCATCCCAACTATTTGTCAAAACAACATTTTCTTCCTCGAAATGGGAAGATATATGTAATGGGAAATTAGGATATCTTCCTGTTACAAATCTACTTTCAATCGTCTCTCACAGAATCTACTTGCGGTTGCATTTGCTGCACATCTCATCTTGATTATCTGTCAAAAGAATTGTCTAAAGGCTGAGCGACATGATAGGAGGAACAGCACTTCATAATTCCTAGTATACAACGTGGCTCTTTAACGACACTTATCTATCTGGTATAGCTTACCAAACACTCCCTCATCTTGTATATCTAGCTTAATACGAACATAAAATTTGGCGTTTATATCTGCTCTTCACTTTACAAATTGCATTCAGTTGACTGGCTGACAACTTTTTATCTCTATAGTATACTTATATCTGCGTTTATGAGTGATGAGAAACAATGTTTCTTCTGTGCATAACTTAGATATAAGTCTATTAAGATAATGGGGATCTTTAATCAATCTCTATATAATCGATTTGATTTACCTACCTGAATGTTGAAATATACATACCTAGGTATCTTGAGTGTATATCCACCCTTTTATGTGAATCAGTCTTAGATAGATGATTACATCAATGTCCTCATAAATCTCTCTATTTCGTTGACTACGAACTGATGTACCTCTTGACTTCAACTCGTCTAGCTTTAATCCCTCCAACCTAGCTTACTAGCAAATATCTTTCTTTGCACATCGCACTCAATATGAGCATACACAGTTCTCCAATCATCGCGGCTCTCCCCCATCTCTTTCCAGCTTCCCTGTATCTAGTCTACTCCACTGAACAAATGTCTGACATTGAAATCGGAAGTTTCTTTTGGCTTAGCAATCAAAGTTGACACATTAAGATTTCATGCAAACGCGTGGTTTTCTTTGCTATATATCTGAAATTAATCCACAAACCTTAACAGCGTGTATAGTTATAGGAGTAAAACCTGAGTATGGGATCACCAGATGTATATAAAGCAGATACAACCTCTTTCACGACTGCAGTTGCTCTAGCTGACTTCATTCCTTGATCTTACCCATGGTAATCAGCAAAGATAACAGGTATTACGAATCCTCGAGTGTCCTAGCAAGAGTTATTCAAAAAAAAAAAAGTAGAGATAGGGATAAGAAAGTTCCGTCTTCTTGAATGTCAAAGTGAATTAAGTATTTTCAGTTTGGCATGGGTTTTGTTGAGCGTTGATATCTCGGGGGTAGGGGGTATCTTGGAGATTCATAACTACAGACCCGTGATAAAACATACAGAAGAGATCAGATTTGCAGGTTATACTACACTGCGAATTGTGTTGGATTTAATCAGGCTTTGAGGGGCACTTGAGATATTTTGAGCTTTTTGCATCCCCCACTTGACGTCAGATTCACGGGTACTAGTACGAATACCTCATCAATGATACCATTCTACATTTTTCTGCATGCTTCCTATGATGCTATCCCAATTCAATCCTTCCACTCTCTCAATAGGTTGTGCCTGGACAGTTTTCATGCAATCAGCTATTGCTCTCTCTTTGGCAATTTCTTGTTCGCCTTTCGGGCTTCCGCTGCACTGCTCTTCCCTCCCGCTCTCCACTCACGCCGTCTCCCCCTCTCCTCATCCGTATCACCATCCTCACCTTCTTCATCTTGATCTCCTGCATCTTGTGCTCCCTGGCTACCCTGTTCATCTTCTCCTTGTTCCTCTGGCGCTTCATCTGACACTGCTTCTCTGCCTCCGTCATCATCGTCATCGTCATCGTCATCGTCATCTTCCTCACCTCCCCCTTCTTCCTCCGAGTCTGTTTCACTATCTGGAATCTCAACTTGCCTGGGATCCGGATGATTTCCTACCCACTGTCTCAAATATTCATTCACATGTCTTACAAAGAACACTTGACCGCCAGGCTGGCCTCTAGGCGGAAATACCTCATTCATCTTCTTGGTGAGAAACTTTCTACTAGTTCTTCTGTCCTTCCAATACCTCCCCTCATCATGTCTTTCTTGAAGTAAATCCTGAAGATGATTTTTTTCTGCCTGCGTCCATATTCTAGCCGGCTTTTTATGTGGCATTTTGAGACGTGTTGTGAAGTTACTGTGAGATTGCGATTGATTGTGCAATCAGATGATGAGATGACGAGATTTTACAGCGATAATGATGTGGTTGAAATAGTGATGGCAGGATAAAGACAACTCTAGGAACAAGCCGGAAATCGTGCTGGCTTACCAGATGACGGTGGAGAGTTCGCCATTCATTCCAAATGTACATTGTAGTGTTCTTTGGACCATAGTGCTGCGATTATTTGATGAATTTCGGGCAATGTGTAATGAATTAACTAATTGTTGTGAATGATGCTTTGTGTCCCCCATTTTTGAATGCTGAAGAAGTGAGTCGATTTGGGGTTTTCTCTTTATCACACAATATATCTGGTATGAATTGATAAAAGAGGTGATCGAAACGAGGGTATTGAGAGGGGATTTAAGAGAATGGCACTAAGAGAAGAGGGGAGACTAGAACTCTGTTTTCCCATGGATTATCTTTATCTCTTGAGGCAAGTTAGCCAGGATATCATAGCTGTCACTTCAGTTCAGTTCTCCCATTTCTTCATCCTGAATTTTCCGTCTATTCATCTATTTTGTTCTCGTCGTTCCTCTATCATCTTACTCCCAATCCACATATTTTTTCAACTCTATATTGAGATATTCTTCCTCGTCTTCCCCTGGACTCTTGACCCCCCTGTTTCATCTCCTCAGGTAAACCTTTCTTTCGATCAAGCAGTAGAACGATCGATTTGGCTAATTGAACGAGCTCTTCTTTTTCTTTTTGCTTAGCATTAGCTTCTACATGCAACATCAGACTGGGCTTCGAGCTTAGATCTCCTCCGGGTTAACTGTCAAGAGTCACCTCCTACAAGGGGTACGTGCGACTACTCATTTTGGGATGTGATTCATGCAACTTGCACATGAACAATACTTAGCTATGCATCTGGACCCAATATCACCGTCGGATGTCACAAACGAATGCCAAAAAAAAACGCCAAAAGTATGGACTTGCAAGGCAGAAACTCATTCCGTTGGAATTTGCAGCATACCCTCCGTGGTCGGTTCATGCACTTTGAGCTAAAGGACTTGCAAGAAGGTCAAATGAACTGATCGTAGAGACTACGGCTCGCTCACACTACTACCGTCGACAAGTTCACTTTCTGCTTCTACACATACTAAACAAGCACTATGCTTTCTACAAAGGCTTTCCTAAGCTGTATCGCTCTTGGTACTGTTGTCTGTGGCGCTCCAGTTTTGAACGGCAAGTATCAAACTCTCTATCGTCTGCATCCATCTAATTGGACGTAGAACGAGCCATCAGCGTTAGAATTATAGGAAACGAAGCCATCATGGAAGGCTTTAACGAAGACCTCATGCACAAGACAGGTCGACGCTCAGGTATCTACGCGGGTATCATCGGAAATGAAGCCATCGTAGAAGAATTCACCGAAGATCTCATACGAAAGCAGGGGCAGCATGTGGGTATAATTGGGAATGAAGCGATCGCTGAGGGATTCAATGAAGATTTGATTCGAAAAGAATGAGCAGCCACGTACAAGAGGTTCCGAGTCAGAGTCTAGATTGTGGTAGTGGCTGCACATATACAATTCCGTCTTAGAGATTTAGTCTTCTCCAAGTTGATAATTCATATGCGGTTGCAATATGCATCTTGAGCTTATTATCTTCAGCCTTTATCCCTCTGTCTGAAACTACCACGAGAGTATCTTACTACCAGCATTCAGTATATCTTTTTAGGTATCCAATATCCAATCGCTGGTAGAAAGAAGTTTCCATTCTGGTGTGCACTACACACAATGTTGTCTCAGAGCCTCTTTTATCGTGATCATTTATCCTTTTCCTCTTTCTTTCTCTTCCATCGCTTCAACATCTTTTTCAATTTGGGGAAAAAACTTATACCCATTTTCCATACACAAAAACCTTGAACAAACGCCTCGACACAATTATTTTCTCGTAAGCTCTAAACCATATGAATAGTATGGTAAAAAAGAAATGACCCCAAAGAGTCTTCGGTACCGATCTTCTTCCAGGCTAAAAAACATCGTGATCTTAGCACACTCTTTCATGTAAGCATCAGTATTACCCAGAGAATCTTCCATGCGAAGATACCCTGAGGATAGATGATGACCTTTTACCCTCCCCTCCCCTCTCCAGAGACACCCACACCCTCTAGACACCCCACCCACAAAACCATATCTATTCCCATAGAAAACTCACGCACTAAGATTACTTCATCCCAATTCCAACCAGTCATTTTCCAATCCCAATCTCAAATCATAGCCAGTCCAGTCCAGTGATCTAATCAATATACCCCACCTGCCACCCCAAATATCTCCAAAAAGAAAAAAAAAGACCACTCCCTGATTTCCTCACCCAACGCATCAAAAAACTTCCAGCAAAATACTCACAAACAAACCAAAAAATACATCATTAACGGAGAGGAGGTTTTGAACCACACCCGATTTGAACGGATAACCTTTCGATCTGGAGTCGAACGCGCTACCGTTGCGCCAGCGGTCCTTAATCATGTGACTATTACAATTTCAGTTTTTGTTTGCGGATATATCCTTTGATTTGCGGGGGGCTTCACTGGGTTTATACTTCAACGTCTCGTCTCGGCTTTGCATTATGTGGTGGGCGAAGGGAATACTTGGCAAGCAATACATAATTGATTAAATGAAGCGATTGGGTAGAAATAAAACGTCATGGAAGAAGAAAAAAAAAAAAAACTAGATGGGGATGTAATGGAAGCGCTCCGCGAGGAACCGTGAGCTCGCTGGAGGATTGGTTTGGTCAACGTCAGATCTCGAGTTCTGTCGTTTCGTTCATATTTGCAGATAACCTATACAACGTCGAACGTGTCACTTCACCGGAAACGTAAAAGAATAAGCCAGTATATATGATCAATACCAAGGTAAACATAAATGGATATATATTTTCAAAAGATTCAGCATTACACTGCCAGAGCGAATGGTTGTGGTTGAGAGAAACCAAGTCGATCGTACCCATCCTACTCAGTCTCAACACACACATCTGCATCGCAATTCTCGCTATCTTCCATGAAAATACCGCCAAAGATCAATCCCTCATTGATACCACTTTCCTGGAATCCATTCTTGGAAATATCTGCACCAGCGGCAAAATCTGTTGGCTTCTTCAATAAACCGAAGTGATATTGACCTTGTCCAGAAATATCATTGGTTAAAGCTTCAGTAACCGATTCAAGAGCCTTGGAAGAGGTAGAGTAGAATACTTGGGTTGTACTGATTCAAGGTTAGCTGGACATATTTATTGAAAACAAGAGCGGAAAACAAACTTGGCGGTAAAATCCAATTTCAACCCAAAGTTGTGCCATCCATCGGTAAAAGCAGTGGTGAAAAGTTCGGTTGCTCCCTCATTCACATTTCCGACGACTCTCAAAACATTTGGATCTGTGTTGTTTGTGTCCAAAATGGTACCTGTCTTCAACACAAATTGGTTGGTGCTGAAATCTGCACTTTCGAGGAAGGCAATTTGATACTCGTGGCTGAGATTCAATGGACGAGAGGCATCCTTCATGATGGAGAAATGAAGAGTTTTGATGCCTGTGGTGGAAGCATCAGTGCCATTGTTGGATAATGGCATCAATTCAGCACGACGGAATCCAACTTGTACGTTTGTCGAGGAGGGAGCAAAGATGGAGGCATCAGAGAGGGTGACCTCGAAGGGTGTAGTTGAATTTCCATCATACTGAGAAGTCATTAGGCGTGTAACCAGTATAGCACACAAGATGGCTTACCAAAGAAGTAGGAATATCAGTTGGGATGTTGATGATTTGGCTCCATGTGAGATCTGGAAATGTTAGAAGAAGTGGTGTATAGGAAGAAATCAAACCTACTTGCACCAAAGTTATAACTGGGATTGTAGAGACTTGTATTGGAGTTATCAAATGCAGTTGGTGTGGTGCCTACTGGTACACGACCTTCAAATTGAAGTGGACAATCTTGCGCCTGTGCTACAGAAGCGAGAGTCAACAATGACAATCCGAGAAATGAGTGAAGCGACATGATTGATAGAGAACTTTGTAAATGAATGTAATGAGAAAGGAATGTATTGATATTTGTTAACGGGTTAAAAAGAATGGAATTGACAAAATAGTCACACAGTGATACTTTGGATGAAAGGGTACACGGTCCGAATAGCCCATTCATATAGGTATATATAGTTGGTCTACTCTACGACTCCGCGAGATTCCCCATCTCATCTATTATGGTTCAATTTCATAAGACTTCGCCAAAGAAGTTGAATTTACCTTACTATTAAACTTTCCTCAAATAGATTATGGCCTGATAAACGAAGCAATAGAGATCCTTTATTATTTTGGAACGCATAACATAAACGCGCGAATTGACACAAGAAGAGCAACAAGAAACGCTTCCCAAGCACCAACCATGGCAATTGCGGTGAAAATAATGGGTATATGCCGGTTTATAAATTGAGAATCCGGAGACCAAGAGACAAGCCTGTTTCAGCAAAACTCTAATTTGACTTGTAATTTCGGATGGTTCGGTCCATGCTGCATTTGGGCAGTCTTTCATTTCAGTTTGGAGAATGTTTCAGTCTTTCAGTCTTTCAGACTGTAGAAAGTATTCCAGCGGGAATGAACTTTAACTCAAGAGCTGGAGATATGGATCTCTTCTAGAACTACTTTGAGGAGTGCAACAAACAGATGATTGGATTCCAAAGGGTCCAGGGTCTGCAGATCCAGGTCTGCCGTGAATATTATCATTTAGGAGAAATCAAAGACATAAGGAAGGAGTAGCAAATTGACATATTGCATTCAAGGGCCAATATATGAGTTTCCGAAGCGCTTTATATTTACATATTGTATCATAAGTAGAGTTGCTAAAATTGTTGTACAGAACGATAGATGCATTGGGCACCAAACCGGAGGCCGGAGTATCTGATGATCCGAATCGTGGGGTAAATGAATGCTAACTTTACATTACGTAGTGGCGGGAGCTGCCTTTCGAGCTCTCAAAGTTTCCTTCATTTAATACCTACCTACATCAAACAAACCAATATCTAGAATTTCCAGTGACTCAAAACCACCGAGTCAAGATGGCGGAAGCAATAGATAATCCAGATGTTCCCTCGAACAAGAAGGCTTTTATCCCATTAGGTGACTCCTCTCCCCCTCCATCCTTCTCCCAAGCTAATCAAATATCTCCCTTAGAAAACAACCCCGAAGTAATGTCCTCTCTCCTCCACAAACTCGGCCTCTCCACCACTCTTTCTTTCCACGACGTATTTTCCATCGAAGATCCTTCTCTCCTCTCCTTTATCCCCCGTCCCGCACTCGCTCTATTACTCGTTTTTCCCGTCTCAAAAAGTTATGAGGCATTTCGTTATTTAGAGGATAAAGAACGTAAAGATTATACAGGAAAGGGAGAGAATGAACCAATTATTTGGTATAAACAGACTATCAGGAATGCGTGTGGATTGATTGGCCTTTTGCATGCTGTGAGCAATGGTGCTTCGAGGGGTTTTGTTGGTATGTTTATCTCTCTCTCTCTCTCTCTCAACAGATTTGTCAAACGTACATATCTGACACAAATTTTCTCTTTTGCAGAACAAGACTCTCCTCTCGACAAACTAATCAAAGATGCCATTCCTCTCGCCGCAATCGATCGCGCAGATCTCCTCTACAATTCCCAAGCCCTCGAATCCGCTCATCAAAACGCCGCAACACAAGGCCAATCCTCTACACCCAATGCTGAAGACGACATCGATTTACACTACGTGTGTTTCGTCAAGGACGGGAAGAACAATCTTTGGGAAATGGATGGAAGGAGAAGAGGACCACTTGAGTTGGGATCATTGGGAGAAGATGAAGATGTTCTGAGCGAAAAGGCGTTGGATTGGGGTGTAAGGAAGTTTTTGAAGAGAGAAGAGGAAAACGGCGCAGAGTTGAGGTTTAGTTTGATTGCGTTGGCACCAAGTCTCGACTAAAATGGGTTGGCTACGATTATGATTATCATGAACAATTTTGAAGGAACCGGAAGAAGAAATCGGCGTTGCATTACACCAAATGAGCAGTCATAGAACAGCTACATCTGGGTGTCAAAACCTTACATCCATTTTGAACGAGACCCAAAAGTTTTGACTTTAGATACCATGATATGTCTAGATTTTTAACGCGATGGCTTTATCCACGGACCAAATTCCACATCTAACTTCTATTGACGTATATGGTGTCCCAAAATCTTTCAAGCCCGAAGCCATGCCATATAGTCCAAGCAACTCAAGCCCCTTTAATCATGATATCTCGTAGATGTAGTGGTTCTATGACCAGGAAATGCTATGAACCGTTAGTAAATTTACCAAAACCATGGGAAAGACCAAAACTTACTAAAGCATAATTCCGGCTCCCGTTGCCATAGCCATGAATTGTTTCAGCGTCTTCGTCAATTCAAGACCCCTATCCTTTCCAGTCTCCAATAATTCCGGAATAACGGCTACAGTTCCCACATACAAAAATGTTCCAGCTGTAAATGGCAACAACATATCACCCCACTCCAAACTTGTACCCATGAGGCCGTCAAACCTGCCAATACCGCCTTCTTCTGTGCTTGAACCATATTCCTGAATCATGATGCCGATGACCGTCCCGAGGAGAGCTCCAAGTGCGGTTACGAATTGTGCGCCCATGGCTGCACGTTTGGAGAAACCGGATTGGATTAGGAGAGCAAAATCACCGACTTCGTGGGGAATTTCGTGGAAGAATACTGCGACTGTAGTTGTTGCGCCAATTGTTGGAGATGCATAGAAAGAAGAGGACATGGCGAGACCGTCGGTAATGTTGTGAGTGAAATCAGCGCTGTCATACAATTAGCAGTGGCCTCCCTGTTTTCTTCTGCGAAGAAACGTACATGAGGTTAAGATATCCAGCAAGCTTGACACTAGAGTTGATCTCCTTTTCAGTCTTCTCAACCTCAACAATTGACTTTCCGCTATCCTTCTTTCTTGATCTAGTACTTCTGGCAGGTGTATCATCCAAGTTGCTTGAAATAGCAGAAGTTTCCTTCTCGCTCTCATGACCATGACTGTGCGAGTGTTCATGGCCTTGTCCACCAGTGGCGATTCTCAGTCCTTTATCCATAGCAACAAATGTAACGAATCCAACCATAATCGCGACTCCCAACAATAAATTGCGGTTTGGTTCAACCAACACGAAGCGCACATTCTCATGGGCATCCTCGCCAAGGAAAATCTCTGGAAGAAGATGGAACAATGTATCACCCAAAAGACCACCAACTGCGAATGCTACCATTACGGAGAGAGAAGAAGGGTCGATATTCGGTGGACATAATGCGAGGAGAAAATTGGGGGGTCCAGAGATATACAGGGTTGCTAAAAGTGCATTGACAGCGGGGGTGGAGGGGAAAAGAACTGCGAATATGCGAGAAGTAAGAGTTGAAGTAATTGGAGACGTGACTTGTTTATATGCATTGAGATCTTGCACAAGAGGACATTGCTATCGAGTAAAGTTGGTTAGATGGGGCTCAGGCAGATTATCGTGAGAACTTACTTGGAGCTGTTCCTCTATTTCAGGCAAGCTCATGCTCGCAACAGATGTAGCATGGCCTTGAGCATATACGCATACAATTGCAATTGAAAGCAAAAGAGCAACACGACGGGGACTAAAGAACGACATTTTGAATTGGAAAAATGTATGTTGGAAGGAAAGGAAAGAAAGAAGGAGGGACAGCTGAGCTTTGACGGAGAGATTATCAGATTGTCAGTATGTAACGATATCGGATGGCGTTTAGCGAGGTGGAGCCTACATTTTTTAAGCCTTGCAGGGTCTCTCGGCCCCGAGGGGTCAAGTGAATTTACTTTGGTGTTAGTGCATTATGATGTCAAGCATCATCTTTATTAAATTCGTTACAGAATTTGAAAAGGGGCAGACAATAAGTATCTTGAGATTTCTTGGATCTGCTCATCGGCAAGACTTTATTCTTGAGTCGATATTCCATCGAAGAAAACAAGATGTGTCACTCATTGTCAGTCAGCCACATCCAGCCAGATAGAGATGTGTCATCTCTGATTCACTAGCAGGCAGGGTGATGATCCTTCAGCAGCTGCAAGTGCAGCCTCAAGGTCGAACAAGACTGTGCATACTCCCCCGATGAGAGTTGTTCGAGAATCAATCTGTGCTGCAGTTTTTCTCGGGTCTTAAGTTATTATCGTGAAGCTGGATTCGCAGCGCATTTCTGCTTTCTTTTGACGATGTGCACATCGAAACAAGAAAACAGTATTTTGGCTGCAAGCTAATGCCTCATACATAAGTCATTGAATATCGAAATCTCCATATCCCCCATGACTATGGGACTTTCCTTCCAAGTAATCTACACTCATACAATTCTCAGACTTCAGCGGAGAAGGTCAGCAGGGAGTAACTTCACAAAGCAAGACTAAACTTGGTGAGTCGTTTTACTTGAAGGGTATATTGAATTCGGGAATGTTAGCAAAATGGCATCAGATGAGATAACAAGACAATTATTGCATCTACTCTACAGATTCCTATCATTGATTGCATCCGATTGAGAGCCGATGGAAGGCCTATGAAGTCTCAATTTTCAAAATAATCATCTACTCCCATGTTTCCGTCAGAAACCCAAACTGAGAGCCTTAACTATAAACAATCAATATTTTCTGGTATGAGATGAGATAAAAAATTACGATTTCGTACCAAGTGGGTATTCTCGACTTGGCAAGATTGGATTAGAGATCATCACTGTCTGGTTGTTTTTCGAACAATCACTGTCCATTGTCCGAAATTACCAGTCTGTATAGTATGGATTTTCCAGCTCCATCTAGTCGACAGGTTTCGGAGATGAGGTGAAATGAGTAGCTATTCTATGCTATCCAACCCTCTCGCCTGGCTAATTTCGACGGGATACCTTTGAAATCTAGTTGTTCGACGAATAACCTACTATTCTCAACAGACTTTGGCCAGATGATGCAAAGAGAATGTTCCGGAGTGGTTTACTGATTCTGATCCCCAAAAAGGCAATTGTTTGAGAGGAATCTGGACATCTGAGATTCCCAGTCTGGTGTCTTTAAGATCAGAACTCTATCTTAATCTAAACGATAGATAGATTCGGATTTATAACGTCTGATGTGAATACAATGCATGATTATTCATCTAGCCAAATACAGATACCGGGGCGACTTCCATCTCCGGTACAGAGCGTGTAAGTGTAAATCTAAACGAAAGCCTATAGGTATTATTAGTCTCATGGCATTCTTCTTCATGCAAACAAATGTTGTGAAAATCACGCTGTTCGGCGGGTTGTCGTGCAGAACCGCGGATTTATCACCAGCAGCGTAATCTATGGACACAGCAGACGCTGCGCCGACAATGCCTATGAGAATCGATTATTTCAGGCCTCTCATTTCATCGAGTGATGGTAATACATGTGCAGGTTGCCGGTTCTAAGCCTCTACCAATGTCGGTGTATCTCCAATCGCTTATGGGGCTTGGTGAACGTTATACAGACTCGACATTTTCGCCTCGAAATACCCACCATTGCCGTATCTGCTCGCCATGGCAAATTTAGTTATTTCCAACAAGGGTCTTCTATCAAACTCCGTATAACCAAATTTCAAAAATGTCTTTGCTCATATACATATTTGCTTCATATGTCAGTCCAGTAAACGCATATCCTGTGGCTAGTGCAAGCCCGAGCGATGTTAACATCACAGCCTTACAGACAGATGTTGCTCCAGGCTGGGTTTCAGAACCTGATGGTAGAGGCTCTTGGAGCTTGCTATATAGCTGTGTCGGGACTTTAGTCGCATGCGTATATACAGCAATTCACTTGAACATTCCACCTACTCGCGAAAAAGCGTATTTTGGTTGGGCCAGAAAAGCAAAGTGGGTTATGATTGCACTACTAGCTCCAGAAATCGTCGCATACACTGCTTTTGAACAATATTATCTTGGTCGCAAGTTTCTTAAGAAGTTGGTTTCTCAAGAAGAACAAAAGGTTGCTTACCCTTCTATCTATGAAAAGTATAGCACTGATACAATACAGACCAGCAACACTACTGCGAAACCTAATTTCGACATGGTATATGCTCATTACACGATGATGGGCGGATTTGCTGCAGATGTTAGCCATCTTCACAACGTCCTCAAAACTGTAACCTTCACCACCGACGGTATCCTGTTCCTATCTAGTGTTGGCTTGGCGCCACATCTCGATAAACAAGAGATTGAGGACAAGAGTAAATCAGACCTGCTTGGAAAGATGCTGGCATTCCTACAAGGCATCTGGAGCATTGGCCAAGCAATTGAACGAAAGTGTTCGGGCTATCCGACCACTATGCTCGAAGTGCATACTGTCGTCCATGTTGTGTGCGCCCTAGCTTTATATGTTCTCTGGGCTACGAAACCGCTAAGTGTTGGGGTACCTACCATTGTGAAGTTCAATGATGCGGATGAGAAGTACCTAGCCTTTATGCTGCAACTAGGGGCCGAGAAGGGACCTCGCTCGGTTGAACTTCACCCAAGAAAGAAATGGTACGACATAGCGCCATCGAACCATTATGGATTTACGATCCATGATAGTACAAAGCCCGCTGGCGACGTATATGGTGAACCTGAGATGGGAATTTATCAAAGTAATCAGCAAACATCAGCAAATCCTGATTCCAGCAATGCTGTTGCCAGCGAGATCGTCTCTCCTGCTTCCAAATCGGACTACAAATCTTCCGACCAATGGCAGGAAGTCGGTAATATCGTCACTCATTTTAGGCAATCAGAAGAGGAGATCAAGAGCCTTCCTGAATCATGTAGGGCTCGCCAAGCGTGTATGGAATACAAGCCAGCTACAGATGTGCCAATCGTTTGTACCGTGGTTACAGGCCAGTCATTGAAGTCCGGCTTTGGTCCCGGCCTAAACCATGATTCGGGTAAAATGCGCCACAACATAAAATGTGATAGCAGGTCTATTAAAATATCCTTCACATACAAGGATATAAGGAGGCTCAATTTAGCTTCGGCGTACATAGAAAGTCTATCACAACCATCGAAATCCGAGGAAGGACGGAGTGATAATATCCAATCGTCCTACAACGAGAAAGTTCATGATGCATTAACGCCGATATTCGCTTTTGCCGAAAGAATGGATTTGCCTCTTGCATTGAGGGCTCCTAATATGAGTGGAACCATATTCAAGAACACGCAAAGCGATGCCACATATCTTTCTGCAGCAATGGCTACGATACCTGCGCTATATGGCTCCGTACACCTTGGCGCTCTTACTATTCTGTTTCCGAGCACAGTAGAGCGGTTGGCGTGGAAAATATCCTGCTACTATTTGATTGCTGCCGCTGGTCTCTTTGGTGCTTGGTCTCTTTTAAAGTATGGAGACAAACAGGCCGCGCATGTCTTCAAAATGAGTAACACACCACTCGAAAAGTGGAAAATGTTTCGAGGCGATTATGGTTATCCATTGAAAGGGAAAACACAGAGTGTCGTACTCGGATGCTTCTCATTATTTCATTACATCAAATTTGTGTTACTTGGACTTGGAGCAGCGTTGTATGTCGCCGCTAGAATTTACATAGTGGTTGAGTCATTTGCCTCATTACGCCATGTTCCAGTTGGGGTTTATCAGACTCCCAACCTCAATCTTATGGGAAACCTTCCGCATATTTAGCTGGTGTTATTTTTCTACTCGGGGCTATTTCTTAAAGTTATTGAATTTCATTGGTCTCACCTCATGGCAAGAGCAAATAACAGGTTGGTATAGTAGTACATTTATGCATATGTCCCGGGGAGCTTCTGGCTTATGAATTTCGTTATATCGCTGATGTTTGTCGGAAATCAAGAGGGATTTTTCATTAAATGGAGTGAAATAATGAGAGGGATTGAAAGAACGATGGAATATTGTAGACTGAATCTGAAATCATTTTGTTTGACATTCATTACGGGGATGATCTTGTGATAGCAGTACTGTTTATCAAATATAGTAGAATGATATCATTATGATAATGTCCCTTCTACAAGCAGATCAATGGTACCTGTAGCTTCTTCTAAAGATATTAGAATCAAAGGAAGTGGTTTAGAACCAAAGACTGCGAAATCCAACAGTCTAATTTTGAGTACAAGTACAAGCACCACAATAAACATACATCTTAAACAACCTAATTATCCTTTGTAATGCCCCATTCTCTACTGACTACAACTTACAAGTGACAATGTTTTAAAGACCAAAATATTAGATGAAGAATAAATAAACAGAGGAGAAAATGATTTGCTGTGAAGGAGTAAAGCGAGTAGTCAAAAGGCTTTATTTGAGTCTCGCTTAGGTTTGAATTGCACACCAAAACAGCTCTTCTCTTTTGAATAATCTCTTATGGTGAGGTGTATATCCTCAATCAGAGTCGATGATGCTGGTCTCTTTCTGCGTTATTCACGTATCTTTGATAGGTTATATTGACCTTCATTCTCCCATCCTGAATAGGAGGAGAACCTCAATGAAATGACTTGAAGAGAGATGGACATTTGTATGAAAGAGCCCAAGGCTATCAAGACCTGGGGCTATCTGATAAAGAAAAATACTGCTCAAAAGCTAGGGCTCAGTACAGGATATAGACTTTGTTTTGAGATATTCAAAGAACGATTGAACATGACAAGTAGCATCTTCTGCTGATTAACAAAGTATGTAGTTGAATGAGATATGTTCTGCAGTGTTTTCCTTGCTCCAATTGATGCTTTTGATGGCCTTGAAGGCTTTATTCCATGATGACTATTTCAATTGGTCAATCTCCATGAAATGAAGACATCGATCATCCCAGTTCTTCAGAATACAACAACTCTACCACGGACTCTTCTCTTGGGCGAAACTCATACTGCACTGATACATTCGTTCCGTAATGGATCCGCTCATGGCAACCGCCCCGCCCAATGCACCCCGTACACTCCGCGAGGAAGACAAGCTCAATGTGGACGAAAAGAAAGTATTTGAGGAGCTCTGGAAGGATGAAAACAACCACGTTGCTGCAACGATGTCGACTAAGATGACTGAGGAGGCTAAAACCAATGACAAAATGGACAAGAAACCAGATTGTTATTCTGTGAGCCGTATGGAGAAGGTTATCGAAGCACATCGGGCGGATTTGAAAAAAGAGGCAGATAAGAAAGAGAAAGAGAAAAAGGAAGGGGAAGGAAAGAAGGAACTCTGATTAAATTCTCCGAGCACAGGCTTACTGGTCAAAGAGAAACTGTGGGTGGAAGTACTGTCGTGGCTTGAGCCTTCATGAGATGAGGGTTTGCAGAAAATAATGCACAGAAGATCGCCGAAAATGTTTGTGTGCTTTTTGAAAAAGTATGATGAATATTGATATCAAGTGATTATGTCATTACCCCTTTCGAAGCGAAAGCTTATACAACATGCCAAATGAAGTTCCGCATTCTCTTCTAGTACTTTAGTGACTTCCAAACTATCATCTGCAAGTTCCAGATTGGCAAAAGAGATCTTTTACGGAGATGATAATTTATTTGCACATGTAGATTTAAAGTGGAATTTTACAATGGCTAGTTCAAGTTTGTGCGGTCATACAATTAGACGGAATGTCATGAAGTGAACAACTCTTAAAGGAAAAGATGTAGTTTTGTGCCGTCAAATGTTGTTGCTTGTCAGTTACTTCGATTTACTATCAACGTAATGTCCCCCCTTTTCATCACAATGACATGAACATTACTTATCTCATGGGGTACATTCCTCTTGTAACGATCTAGAAAGCCACACCAAGACTCATCAAGAAGAGTAAGAATCTCATATAACCTTCTAAATCACCAGATAATAGTCTCAAGATAATCGTATTCGACTGGCTTTGCTTGCTTTTCGAAAATCAACAACCCGATGAATCTTTCGAGCTGAATCTGTTAAATTCTACTTAGGTGAACTCCAAGATGCATCAAAAGGTAAATCTCTCATTAATACAGCAATTTTATGTGATGTAATAGCCTATTTAGTTTCTCGACTTGAGAAGATATGGTTATTACTCGTACTCAATACGAACAATAAAGTAAACTAATCACAGGATTTGAGACGAGATAGACCTAATGACTGTACTTCTCTTGGAAAAGAAAACCACCAGCGGAGAAATTCGAGACGAGATGACGCTTATTTCCCAACACAAAATCGAAAAATGAGGTATCCTGTCTGAAAACTTCAGATAAATACCATCTATTGTACGAATTCTGGCTCGAACAAATCATTCTCACATCAATACCATGGGAGATGAGAGAAGATGAATATTGTAGACTGCTCTAACAATTGTATTCTTCGTGCATGTGATTCTATTCTTGCCAATGTTTTCAAGCAGCTGATGTCCTGCACAACGTACTCTCATAAATTCGTGTTCCTCCTGATGATCTTCCAGTGAACAACTGCATCGTCATTCATCAAATCTTCAGTCTTGTCTGTACAATCCTTCATCAACAATGCTGATTGATTGCAGTTCCGGCGTTTTCAAAGCATGATATGCAACATGAACAAACTCTAATCACTTCCAGTATTGGCCGAACGTCAGTATGTGTTTTCCTGACGCGCTTTCCTCGTGTAATGAACCGTCGTCATTCACAACGAATCTCGTTCCCAAGTTCTTCAAAGCTCCCACAGCCATTGCATGAACAACCATTCTTGTCTCCCTTCCCATGTCTACTTCGCAGGCCAGGAGCATCCAACTTGCCCAGTATGCACGTGATAATGTCTTGGGTATCATCACGTGTCCACGAGCTCCTCCTAAAGGTCTCTTCCTCCTAAGTTGTGCAATCTAATACTCACTTCTATCAGCTCCATCGCTCTCAACTCAAATCTCAAAAGCTACCCCTCCGACCATGGAAGTAGAGCTGCAATAAAGTGTCGAATGAGGTCTGTGGTGTAGATATAGTTGTTGGAGAAGAAAAGCCGTCCAACCCAATCCAAGCTTTCATGTCACCGCGACCCCCCAGACCAATCCAGGCAGGAGCATCTTCACACCGTTCATAGAGACAAAATATGAAGCCGGAATTGAACGCCACAATCTCATCAGTAATCTATCGACCAAACCCACCCACGTTCAAAACCATAAAATTCATAATTGTAACACGAAGATTTACCTTTCAATTGTTTCGGAGATCGTAAAGTTATCACAGTATCTTTCATGTAATTTATAAATATTAGAAGCAATAATTGAAATATAAGAACCTTTTGAGAAAAATCAATTCTGAGCTCTTTCTCTCGTCCCCGCAGAGACCCCTCAATGTTAATATACGAGGCTCTTCTAACTCAGAGAATCTCGTATATAAAATAGACCTCAAACTCTATCCACATCTGCATTTGCATTTGCATTTGCATTCTCACCCCAATTCCAATTGAATCCCCAAAGAACCCAAATCATCCAAGCAACCACGCACACACAAGCAAATACGAGTCTCCAAGTCGTAACAATCTCCTAGCGGATCTTCCCTGTCACTTCCACATGAACCTTCCCTTTCCCACCTTCCTCGTTCCTCTTTCCCGTGTCCCCATTTCGCCTGCCTCTTAACCACAATGAAGTCATAGATCCATCGATTGAACCTAGACCCCTAAGCCCAATCCGCATAGATGTGGCTAATACGCTAGTTTTAGCTCCGAGTCTAGTGCCATCTAGTTCCAGTCTAGATGCGTCGATCATGACCTAGTGGCGATCTGCGGGGGTTTTTTTATTTGTTTCTTTAGCGACCGGCGACCAAAGGGTAAAAATGGGGTGCATGTAGGTACATGGTACTTGTTAGTTCCCAGCTGAGGTTCTGATGCTAAAATGTGTATCGTGAGGATTGGTTATTGTCGCCGGTGATTTTCTGAACAAAGATAAGGAAATCGACGATGAAGGGACCATTGATCAGCGAATATAACTCCTAGTAATTACATAATTTTCTATTTTCGCTATTATACAGGGTTTCTGTGATAATTAATTTACAATTGTGAAATGAACGCGTCTCTCCATGATTCTACAACCCGATCCCAAGCATTTTAATTCTACCAATCCATACTATTTATCATAATGCCGTCGGGGCACCGAAATGATGTTCAGGCTTTTTTGGTCTCTCGGGCAAGGTAAAATTTGGACCTCTTTGAAAATCCTCACTTCTTCTACCCCAAGACCTAGAGGTAGTGCCTGAAGAAGCACCTGAGCTTCGTCTCTTTTCTCTCATTCTCTGTAAGTATTTGGTAGCTTCTCCATCTACAGGAGTGGACTTTATTCCGTCTTCGCCTCGTACTCTACCTAGAAGACTTGATATACTCGAGCCTGAGGTATCTCTATAATGCGATGGTCCTCTTCCAGCAGATGAAGGAGAACCATCCAAACCACCATATCCTGAATCTCTAGTTGGTGGTCTTTCATATGTTTGCTGATTTGCAACTGGTTTTCTTGGGACTAAACGTGATTGCATATCGTTGAGCTCTCGGGCATGTTTAGAATCCGAGTCTGAAAGACCATCATAAAGTTTTTGCTCGCGAAGCTTTTGCATATTGGAATCGATGTGATCGATGCTGTTGTATTCAGCTGCCTGCGCATGTTCCAAATCACGGAGTTCCTTAATCTTCTTCTCCTTTTTAGGGGTCGATACTGATACTTCTGTAACAGTTTGTTCTTTTCCAGCTGGTACATGATTCCAATGCATGGGTACTGTTAGACCGGCCTCCTGAGCAGCAGTCGCCATAACAGGTGGATACCTCCACCATGTTTCCTTGCGGGGGAAGCCTTCTGCGGTGATGTACTCTCGTTCCATGACTTTCACGGGCTCACCGGGTACATGAGACCACTGAAGCCCACCTTTCGAGTCTGGTTGAAAATGTGTTGTGTATTTTGTGTTTGGTAATTCTGGTTCGACTCCGAACAGTGGAGAGTCGAAGGGATCTTCAGCTGGAGCTTGTGAGTGGTGATGTACAATGGACCAGTTTTTAGTATAGGTTCCTGTGATGGTATGACCCCGTACCATCGACTCTGGTATTCTAACCAGTGTGTCTCCATCGTCACCATAAACGTAATGTTTGGCTGGAAGGACCTCGGTATCGATAACTGGAAGAACTCGATGATACCAATGATGTTGATGGATTTCTCGATGAATTACTTTCGTTATAATTTCGTGTGAAGTCGGCAAAATATGTTCATGAACAACAGCTAATGAGAAAGATGAATCAGCTTCTGCTCCTATCTACTGTAGATCATGCAGATACAAATGGCCAATTTTCTGGGCGGACAAAAGATGGTGAAGCAGGTGAATCTGGTAATAAGGGATTGAGTTTCAAAGGTGACAATTGGTTTGACTTTGAATGGCGACGAGTAAGGGAGGGATTGTATGTACCGGGTGCAACCTTTTCGTGTACAGTAGTATCCACAGTATTGTTAAGATCTACCACACCTTCAAGGCCTATGGGCTCCGCCCGTTCTCCAATAAGGTATGAGCCATTCATCCCAAAATGATCAGGCATTGGCGAGGACATATGCTTCTGTCCATTTTCAATGGGGAATTTGGTGCCATTAACGTGCATGTCGTCTCCATTGATTTTAGTCTCTACTTTTTTGTCTGTAGGGAAAGGAGTATATTTTGATGGCGATGGCATTGATCGAGGAGTTCTGTCAGAGACTTTACCAGAAACGCCATTTTCTGAAGACACATTGTGGTTGTGTTTCGCCGAAGTGGTAGTAGAGGTTGAGTGAGAAGTGTCTCGATCCCGCACCGAATTGGCTCGCATTGTCTCCTTCATTGGAAATTGCTACTTGACGAATTGATAATATTTGATGCTTCACGGTGTGATACTGAATGGATTGGATGTGATTGTGTGAAAACAAATGCTCGACGACGAGCCTCTCCAATTGATGAAGTGTAGTGTGTGGCTTCGAAAATGTATGGTAATGTTTCTAGATCCCCTTGATGACGATCGAAGTTACTTGCATGACTATTAGAAACCGTGCCATCTTTACTATGGCAGGTGCTAGTGGGACAAGAATACTCTGCAGAACCCAATTTCGTCTCTGGTGGAGATCCGCTGAGGCAAAAAAGAGATTCTGATACACTTTGGATGTAGGATGGATCTTCTTTGTGTCGTCATTTTCAGGAATGAACTCCGGCAGTCTAGGTCTAGAATGTTTAGACCCTTCAGTCTCAGCCACACCACAATATCTCGATCTTAAATAGCGATATTGGGGATTGCTAGGATCTGCCTAAGAATTTTCCATGGCCAAATTTCGATTCACTACATCTTCCCCGTAATTCTTACTCCAGCAGTCATCGCTCGATTCCTGGACTTCGTCCACCTTTCAAATTGTCATGCGCATCTAAGACATCGATGTATTCATTAGAGGGACGAGACGAGTGCCATTTATGATTTTGCACAGACTGTACATGCATTGGTAAAGATTCGTATGCTTGAGGAGAATGGGCCGAGTTGGGTAGCTTCGGCAGTGTGTTCTACAGAGAGAGGGCGAGGCCGCGACCGCAAAACAAGAGGAGACCTTCGCACAAGTCCAGAAATCATACGCGAAGAGAATTCTCTTCCCCAGTCCTGTATATCACCATCAACTCTAGCCATTCTGCGTTTCTCGTCATGTTCCTTGGATTTGGTAGCGTCTTGCCGATGCTCTGGAACTATGGGAACTTCTGCCGATTCACATTGGACACAAGTTTTTCTACTGCTTCTACTCGTTTTTTCAAGGGTATCGTCGCTGTCGTATGCTTTGGAAGATCTTGGTACATCAATTGACAACTGGTGTCTAAATTTAGTATCGGTAACTGGTGAATTTGAACTCTTTACTTTTTGACATCGATTTCCTCTTAAATTTTGAGCATCAGTTGTCGATGATGACCTTTTCAAGATCCAATCTTTTATTCTGGAAGCATTGATAGGTCAGGATGTCTCAAGTAAACAATCGGTGTTCGGAGATGGCTTTACCGGTGGGGGATCTTCGAAATGCTTGTGACGATCGCTTTTGCCCAACCCTTTACTTGGTATTCGTATTGGTAACAAAGCACAACACAAACGACAACGACAACATCGACAAAAAATCAATCCCAGAGACGAAAGTTCTAAAGTACATTGGCAAACACAGCAGGGATAGAATAACATGTCGGCGAACTTCCATTTCAATCTGTACTTAATTCGTTACCGACTGTAGGTTTACTCGATCTCCAAGATTTTAACGCACCGGCAAGGGAAATATTTCACTGGATTCTACTCTACTACTCCATTAGCAGTTAAACCCGTCAGAACTTTGGAATAGAGATCATTGATTCATTGCAGCGACGTGGCATGGACCCCTTGACCCAAAAGCTAGATCCTTAGTACACTAGATCTCCGTCCACTCACATATGGGAATGCTGGCTAATCGGTCACTTACCTACTTCCGGTGTAAGAAGCTTCGACTTCCTTGTTTTTCGTTACATTGTTGTATGTGATATGTACGTTACTCGATCATAATCCAGGTCCATTGCGGCAGACATCCACGTGTAATGCAAATCATCGATATTTGGAAAAGTATTGAAATGTTGACAAGGAAGCAAGGAAGCGGAGCCCATCTCACCTAGCCACTTGGAATTGAACAGTGCATATGACTGGTTACGTTGTTTAGTAATCTTGTACAGCGGACGCCCCTTTCCCGTGTGGCGGCTTAATCCGATGCGGGGCACAATGATGCAACTTTAAGTTTCCCATCAAATCGATCATGGCAAAATCAACAACCATCAATAACATTCAATAATTAACATTTCTGCAGGATTTGACAATGTGTACATTGGTACGAGTCTCTGACTGTCGACTACAATGCACTACTCAACAACTCTCAATATAGATGATTGGCTCTGTTGGTGCTAAAAAAAAATGAAATCTTGGTAATCTTGCAACTTTCATGGCATCAAGAAGCCACAGCACAAACAAGTAGTAGTTAGACTTTCTTCTCAGAACTCGTAACTCAAATAAAGTTTCTAGTATAGGCAATGATTACATTACGCTATCTCATGAACCATCTCTCACTTCAGCTGTTTTGGAAATGGAAATCATAGTTCCTTCAGCTTTTACTCGCGCAACAACCGAAACCCACTTTTGCAAAACTGCCAATACTATACTTGAGATGCCAAAATGGGATTTTGACGTTTGTCGGGCAAAGACTGGCACCCAATTACCAAAAGAACATCTGGAAAGTTGATACAATATGATTCAAAAGTGGAGACGAAGTGCGTAAGTAGCGCCAATTGACCTCCCGGCACATCTTCCTACCCTTTGTCTACCATGTAAGGACCAGATAATTCCATACGAACCTCCGCTCGTTTATTCTCAGCATCGATGCACAGCCACTTGGTGACGGATCTTCCGGATCTCACAAAATCAGGTATTTGCAAGACACAGCTACCCGAATCCGGAAAGTACAACTTATTGTACCTAGTATGATGATGTAGACAATGCTAGGTGCGGGGGAGAAGCTATCATCTCGAGACTCTCGGGACTATAAGTGATAGACTGTCCTCCCATCTCGTTTTCATTTTCCAACACAAACAATCAAACAATCAACAACCAACAATCTTCTAATCCAATCAACTATACCCAACAAACACCTATTCACCTTCACATACACCATCAAATCAAAATGGATCGTGCCAAGTCAGCTGTCAGTGATTTCCTCTCCAAGGATGGAAAGCATGATACCACTGTTCACGAGGTACGAGTTCTTGCCCTTCAGTCGGCATATCAGAAAGTGCTAATGATTTATCGCAGACTATCAACCCAGCTGTTCAAAATGAGCACGTAATCAAGACCCGCCACGAAGAAGCAACTACTGCTATCGACCGTGAGGTTCATCAAGATCACCACCACACTTCAGTTCAGCCTATCCAAGACCGTGAAGTCCTTCCAGAGCAACACTCCCATCAACTCGGAGCTGTTGAGCATCGCAACATCAAGCACGGAGATGACAATCAGATTCAGGAACGTCTCGCTGCTGAACAAGCCCAATTCAAGAACACCAGAACTGTCGGAGAGACTCAACACACCGCAGCCAAAGGTGCCACCGTTGCTGGTGAGCATGTCCATCACCACGTCCACGAGACCATTCAACCAGTCATCGAGAAGGAGACTGTTCAACCATCCGTTGTCCACACCACCATTCCAGTCCATGAGGTTCATCAAAACGAGGCTAAGCACCACACTGCCACCGCTCTCCCAGCTGTCAGCATGAGCGAGTTCAGATCTCAAGGAGGTTCCTTAGGAGGACGTGAGGAGCGCACTGATGCTTTCAAGGGTGAGCCAAAGTCTGTTGGTGGCACTCTTGGAGGCGAGGGTGCCAGAGGCACTACCTCTTTGACTGAGGGAGAAGGTATCCATACTGGCGCTCACACCGGTACACACAACGGCGCGCTCAATGGCTCTCACTCTCACACCGGTACTGGTATCGCCTCTACTACTGCTGGTACTGCCCACCACACTACCTCCCACTCTTCGACCGAGTCCCACAAGAAGCCTAGCTTGATGGACAAGCTCAACCCTAAGGTCGATGCCGATGGTGATGGAAAGGCTGGTTTCATGAAATAGATGCGTCCTGTACACTTCACTTAATATTCCCCAACTGTATTTCTTAGCTCCAAACTGTACATAGACACGATAACTATGAGATAATTAATCAAAGCGAGTCGATGAAAACGATCTTATTGTTCCACGGTGTGAGGTTATGTCGCATTTTCATTTTACATACCGTGCCCTGTAGTTTTGATTTCTTGTGATTTTTTCTTCGTAATGTATAGTCGCAGTTGCAAGTCGTTGACCAATTCTGCAAATCAATTACGATTATTAGGTGTCTGCCCTGAGGTCGGTTCCCGATATTTGCTCGTGATCTCGGGTGGTCCTCGGCATTCTCGAAGACATTTGTCGATTACATAATCATACTTCAATCTTTAACACCTGTCTCTATATAACCGAAAAAAGCAACGGAAATTCATCACTATTCAAAAGAATTTCAACAACTAAAACTCTTCTTGATATAATTTTAAATAATAAAAACATTTATTATCAATACAAAGAAGACTCAAATTCTCATATACTTTTTTCAAATTTTAATATTTAATTCGAAATGAATTTATAATCTATTAAAAAAAACCTTTGAAAGGATACTCAATTTCAGCCGCTTTTTTCGGTTACATAGAGTCCTGTGTAATTATCCAACTACAACAAAAACACTGCAGCAGGAGGAATCTCTTCCCAGAATGTCATCAAAAGTTTTTCTCTCCTGGAGTCTATATACTTGACGGGGTTTGATTATTGACCGTTCCGGGTCAATTGCGATCCGATCGTATGATTGCTGCGTTTGCATAGGGTAATCATTTCGGGATTTGAAATTCTAGATGTGCTGCAACATCGCGTTGCATCATAATCATCAGCTTGCAGGCTATACCTACCAAGGTGATCTATAATGTGCTCCATTCTATCTTACGGAGCTGATTTTAAAATTTCATCGTGGTGAGCAAACACCTGTTATAACGCCAGCTAGTGTTGGGGTTTGTGGCAATTGCTTCAACAATTCAGAAATTCAGATATTCACATGTACATTATAACTTGGTCAGGTTTCTTAGATGGCTTGAAATTGCTTTCAGTAAGTCTTGTCTTATGGTCCTGTCTTTCCGTTTCCTTATCTCGGGATGAACCGTTTCGTGATCTCCACGGCAGATCCAGAAATACGGAGAGCATGTTTGAAGCGATTACTACATTCCGAGCATCCACCGATACACAATCAAAAACGGGTTCAAACGGCTAATCTTCCAAACTGGAGATGCTGCATGAAGCAGCTTTTATCGAAACAACTTCATTGTATGTCGTTATTAAAATTTTATGCTTTACAGCATACTCGTAAAGGTGCAAGGCATCCTGCATACGACGTCGTCATGTTTCTACCCCTCTTCCCTCCTGGGCATTGCTGTCATAAATTTTGGGGCGGGATTTGAACTCAATCGTATGATGATAGAAATGCATGAGATCAATATCACAGTTTTCTTGTGTTGGGGGTAACTTCTGAGTTGTATAAGAACTCAACTTCATCCAAGCATTCTCTTCTCTCCATCACACAATCTTCTCATCATTCTACAATAACAAACAGCAACCAAAAGACAGGAACCAGCATTTATCATATAAATAACAAAATGCCTGCTCGAATCAAGAAGTACAAGGCCGCAGCTGTCCAAGCTGAGCCTGGATGGTTCGATCTCGAATTGTCTGTCAAGAAGACCATTCACTGGATCAATGAAGCTGGAAAAGCAGGTTGCAAACTCGTTGCATTCCCTGAAGTTTGTAAGTAAACCTAGCTCTGGTCTCGTTCTTTTCAATTTACTTACACACCCATAGGGATCCCTGGTTACCCATACTGGGCATGGAAGGTCAACTACCAACAATCTCTCCCTATGCTTAAGGCATACCGCGAGAACAGTCTTGCATCTGACTCAGATGAGATGCGAAGAATTCGTGAAGCTGCCCGCGAAAATGCCATCTACGTTTCATTGGGATACAGTGAAATCGATTTCGCAAGTCTGTACATTTCTCAAGTTCTGATCTCCCCAACCGGTGAAGTTCTCAACCACCGCAGAAAGATCAAGCCTACTCATGTTGAGAAGCTTGTCTACGGCGATGGAGCAGCAGATACCTTCAAGAGTGTTGTTCAGACAGATATTGGAAGAATTGGACAACTGAACTGCTGGGAGAACATGAACCCGTTCCTGAAGGCAATGAACGTTTCCGAGGGAGAACAAGTAAGATCACACTTGCAAGCACTTTGATAAATTGTTTCTCACTTTTCTTCAGGTTCACATTGCTGGCTGGCCAATCTACCCACACAAGGAAACTCGCACTCCATTAGACCCTTGGACAAACACTAGCAACCCCAACTCCGATATTGTTTCTCCAGCCTACGCCATTGAGACTGCAACTTACGTTCTCGCACCATTCCAACGTATTTCCAAAGAAGGTGTTGACAAGTGCACTCCACCTGGAGTTGCGCGTGAGGATCACAACATTTACAACGGCAACAGCAGAATCTTCGGACCTGACGGACAATGCCTTGCTAAGGCTGACAAAGAGTTTGAGGGCTTGATGTTCGTCGAGGTAAGATAGACAGCATTTCCTCCATCAGAAATCTATGCTAACGAAATTTCAGATCGATCTCGATCAATCACACCTCCCAAAGGCTCTTGGAGATTTCGGTGGCCATTACATGAGACCTGATCTCATCCGTCTTCTTGTTGACACACGTCGCAAGGAACTTATCACCGAGGCAGACCAAGATGGTAGAATCGGTACTTACAACACTCAAGATCGTGTCGGACTTAACAGACCTCTTGATGCTCCTAAAGTTGATGGTCCAAGTGGTGTAAGCAAGCAGGTTCTTCCAAGCAATGCCAAGAAGGCTGCTCACAAGGCTTAAATTTCAATCGTGCGCATAGTCACCGGATTGTGAGGACGAGTGTCTGCCTCGACGCATTCATTCTGTTGGAAAGCATGTTGTATTTTTAGGGTAAACTTTTGTACTAGTCTCATCTCATTTCATACATATTTAGCAATTTATTGAAATATCCCATCTTATTTGATGTTTGGTACCTATGTGGATGGTAATGCTTCCCAAATTTTCAACAATACTCCAACCAGTGCAAGCTTTCGGTGAATTTTAACTTCTTTCTGTGTTTTGACACTAATTGTTATGTCTCAGCCCATATTTCACGCCTTTGTTACCATAATGTGCTTGAATTGGAAACAGCTACAACATTAGCTAGTGAACAAAGGAGTCATCCCACTTTGTTCACAATCCCACACCTACCTAATTTGAACATTTACAATTGGTCAATGAATTTCTTTGATTACTGTAGGCTATTACTTGGGTGAATTCTGAGACTTTCAAACGCAATTTTTTTTGGAGAAAAAATGAAATTTCGCAAGAAATAATTCATATTTATCTGCCATTCATGAAAATGTCGGATTATAATTTCGACCACTCGGGTTTCACCCAAGAACATATCCGGCATCTCCAAGAAAACCCTCTTGAAGCTTGTCAGCGAGAAAATGAATCGCTTCGTATTAGACTGGAAACGTTCAATCGTATGCTTCTCGAAGCTAAAGAGGAATCGCAAAAAAGATTAGATCGTATTAAACAGGTGAGAGACGAAAGGGATGTGGCTTTTGATGAAGGGGAAAAATATGCGACGAGAGAAATTGGTGGACAGTTGGAGGCGTTGAAGAGGGAAAAAGTTGAGGCAGAGAGGAAGACTAAAGAATTGGAAGAGCAGGTTGCGAAATCGCGGGAGATGGCGATTCAGATGAAAGCAGAATTGAAAAAATTGAAAGAGAGGAAAGATGAGAAAGAAGAAACAGATGATGTTTCTCTTGAGCAGCAGAGAGATAGAATTGCAGAGGAGCTTGAGGAAGCAAAGGAGGTCATTAAGGGAAAAGAACTTCATATACAACATTTAAAGGAAGAAGCCAGGAGTAGGTCATCGAGAGTGTCAGAGACACCACCGGTAGTGAGTGCACGAGTACAGGCTCTTATAGAACAAATCCATGCGTTGCTGGCACAAAGAGATGATATGAGACAACAATTGGAGATCTTGACGGAGAATTTCATAGGTACTCCGCCGAAGGAGGTTACGCCAAAAGGAGACACACCACTGAGAGGAACACCGGAGCAAAACACAGAACGGCCGCCTGGTAGATCCGGTGCTAGTGCGGGCCTAGGTAGTGCTAATTTCAAAGGCAGTAGACGAATCTTGCATGCCCCTTCTCCTTTGAGACAACAGTCTTCTACCACCGAATCGGTAGAAGATGAAGATTCAGAAAAAGAGATGGAAGTGAAAGAACGTGATTCTGAGCGAGAAGAGGAGGAATCAGATACTGAAAAAGAAGAAGAAAATCTAAAAGAAAGTATCGAAATAGACGAAAACGACACATCGCTGGAAAGTTATCGAAAAGACAAAGATCTACACTACCAGCGACTTGTCAACCGCATCAAAGAACTCGAGAGAAGGAATCTGCGTCTCGAGCGCTATCACGACATGTCCCACGTAACACGCGCAATCCTCAGTTTGACACCCATTCATTTCGAAGCATATCGTGAACGTAAAGAGGCTAAGAGGAAAGAGGGAATGGTATTGCTCGATATCACGGATAAGGAACGTAAGATTCTACGAAAACAAAATCGGAAGCTCGAAAAACAGTTGCAGGCATTGGCGGATCTGAGATGCAAGGAGAAAGAGAAAGATACGGGGGATGCACAGGATTTTATACTCACACAAGCTCAACATGATGCAAACGAAAATGCTACGAAAGATTACAAAAGATTGTATGAGGAGGCGGAAATGGTAGTGATGAATATGCTAGAGACCTGTGCGGATGTCGATGCCGAAGAAGTCTCGGAATTGCGGAAGGAGCGGGAATTTCATAAGAAGCGAATAGAAGAACTGGAAGAGGAAATCGATGGTCCATTAGGACTGAGAGAACAATTGGCATTCGGAACTGCTGAAAATGCAGACGATTTCAATGCGGAGAGGGAGTTAACACGAGTCAGAGCTGAGCTCGAATGGTGCATAAAGGAAAGAGACATGGCTATGGAGGAATCACACGTGGAGGAAAACCTCACATCCATCAAAGAACTAATGGATCAATCATCCCAGAAACTCGATGTTGACATCTATCCCAACGAGGAAAAATACGAACAATGCAAGGAAATGACCAAAAAGTACCGACAATGCCAGCGTGAATTGAGCGACGAGAAAGAAAAGACCAAGTCTCTTGAAAGGTTTCTGGAAGAGAAGTACATGGAATATGAAGACCTTGCCGGCGATGTGCACGATGATTCGATGAGCGCAAGATTGGCTCGAGCATTAATTGAACTGTACCAAACGAAGCGAAAACTGATGGATAAAACGATACAGAGAAATAGTCTCACCAAGAGTGCTGTGGGATGTTTAACGACCGTCTTGCAACACAATGAAGTTCTGGAGCAGAAAATATACACACTGCAACAACATCCCGATCGCGATCCTGAGCTTCCTATCACAGATGTAGATTTGGAGAACGAAGAAACAATTGCGAGACTCCAGTGGAAGACTGATTTGTTGGAAAAACAGCTTCTTAAAGCTCAATCGGATATCAAATCTGCGGAGAAGAAGGCAAAAAGGTCGAAAGAGAGATTGGATGAATACATTGGGTTATCTTTTAACAAATCGAATACGCACCCTAGAGTTGAAGCTTTGAGATTGAATAGACAGAGATCTCCTCTCGATCCGAACGCTACTGACCCGGAAGTCATTGCGCATTTGAAAGTTCAGCTCAAAGATACGGATGATTTGGTGGAGCTTATATGTCAGAGATATGACGTTGCAGAGGGTGAAGCGGAAGATGAAAAGGAGGGATTGAAGGCAGAGAATATGGAGGCAGCAGAGAGGGCGGAGAAGGCGGAGAAGGCGGAGATAGCGACGAGGAGATTGGAGGATTGTATGGATTTGGTGAATGGACCTTTGAGTCAAAAAGAGGCGTGGGATAATCTGAAGAGATTGTTGAGAGAGGCAAGGGAGGACTTGAAAACTAAAATGAATGAGTGGAAAGAGAAGGATGGAGAACGTGATTGGGCAGTTGAGAGTTTGGAGAAAATGTTAAAAGAGAGTGAAGAAAGGGAAGCGGCACTCGCTAAGCTTCTACATTCGACACAAGAGGACATGAAGAGTGAAGGTACAAAGGACGCGAAGATTGCAGAATTGGAAGAACAGTTGAGGAGGAATGAAGAAAGAATACGAGACTTGCTCCGAGAGAAGGATGAGAATAAAGCCGAAGCTGATGGATTAGAAAGTTTCCTTCGAGCTAGCGAGACGCAAACGACACAACTTGAAGAACGACTTAGGAAGGCCGAAGAGAGAACTCGAGATTTGCAACTGGAGAAAGATACTCAGCAATCTGAGGCTGAAAGACTGGAGGATCTTCTCAAAGCTCGTGAAACACAAACGGCTGAATTTTTCAAGACATTAAGAGATGAAGAGGAGGAACAATACCGAGTGGAAATCGAGAGGTTACATGAACTTCTCCTATTAAGAGAAAATGAAGACGAACAATTCCGTGAAGAAATTGAGAGACTTCACGAACTACATAAAACTAGTGAGGGAAAGGTTACCGAGCTTCTCGAGATATCAATCACGACTTCGACACGATTATCTGATCTCGAAGACGAGATCACGAGATGGAAAGTCGTTGCTGGAGAAAGCATTGGGGAGATTGAAAATTTACAGAAAAAGTTGGAAGATGCAGAGGCGAAGGTTGAATTGCACAGTACAACGCAGAATCAAAATGCGGAAACGCAAACTGACACACCTACATCCACAAGCATGGAAACACAAACGGAAGATATTGAACTTCGACAATCCGCAGTTCCACCTTCTACAGTTGAAATCAAGCCAAAGAAATTCAAAGGAAAGTCTCCAAAACAGAAGCCCATCACAAAGATCCCGCGAGATCCACGCTATCATCCTCAACATCCCGATTCTGAATCCTCAGATGAAGAACCAGAGTCCCCTGAGCCATTCAAACCGCAGCCTAAACACAACGTTGCACTTCGTCAAGAAATGGATTCAAGCCATCCAGCTCCATCGCCCTCTCCTGCTCCTTCATTAACCATTAGACTTACTTCCAAAGCCCATGCGAAAAAGAAAGCTCACGGAAAGGATAGTGTAGAATACGATTCACCGTACAAATTCGAGACCGCGGTAGAAAGCGAAGATGAAGAGATACCGGATGTGGAGATAGCGCAGGAGAGTCCGATTCAAGAAATGCAGAAGGTGGGAGAGGCGGTGAAATCGAGGGGGAGTAGGAATACAAGGAATCCGGATCCGGTGTATACCGGGCAGCTACTGGTGAGGGGACTTGGGAGGGGAGAGAAGGAGAAGATGGGTGGAAATAGGGCTGCTAGGGGCCAGAAGAGGAAAATGAGTGAGAGTGGGATTGAGACTGGGAAAGTGAAGAAGGGGAAAAGGCAGAACAGAAGTGTGTGATATGGTGAAGTGTTTTTTGGGTGGTATTGATAGATACTAGGCTGAAGTCTTGGAATTACAACTTCAAATTTTGTGAGTTTTCTAGTCAAGTACCTAGGTAGATAAAGCAAAATCAGTGACCATCAAATCCTTCCCTTTAAAGCCCTCCTACTTAGACTACCTAGTCCCGTATCCTACAGACGACCCAGAGATATATACTCGATCCTCCCCCCTTCTCCAAAACATTATTATCCAGCACGAATCTAATTACGCAATAACATCAGTGGCCAATATAAAGCAGGCAAGCGAAATTGCATATAATTTATCGTTCATGTATGTTTCAGAATCGATGAATTGATAAAGTTCCACCTGCATACTCAGCCAGCTTATTGAACAGCACAGAAGTTCATCCAAATACAAGCAAATCAACACGATAAATTGAGAAACCTCAGGGATTGAACAAGAGTCGCGATTAAGTTGTGTTGATAGCAGCGAGAAAAAGAGGATTTCAAAAGAAAAAAAATTATGTCCAGGTGGTAGAAGTGATCAAAAATCTACATTCGGCGAATCGTTCGTTCCATGGCCAAAATAAGAAGTGTGGTGGCTCGCATTTCGGGTCCAATCAACAATTGCAAACCAGCCGCGCGACGGCAATGTGCATGCGATGACACCCACCAGTAGTAGATAATGAGCTGATTTCCCACCCTTTCGATTGTTCAGAGTAACTTCCTTTTCTTCAGTTCAGAATACAGAAAAATTACCATAAATACTCTTTCCATTGAAAACTCACGGCTCTTCCGAGTACAACCCTAATTTCCATCGATAAGATGATTCATCCTCAGCAAATACAGGGAAAGATTTACACTTTCATTCCTGACTCAGAGATCCATCACTTGGGTATAACTCTCGATGACAACATTGAAAAGATTGTGCGTAAGCACATGGTTATCTGTCTTGGTATTGTGCACGGTAGACCTAACTACGTGAAAGTGATGACGGTATGTCACCCATCCTCCTCATTCGCCAGCACCAATTCTAAGATTTCAAGATTACATCGACGGTCAAAGATGATCACGAATATGTGCCTATAGCCCCCACACCCAAAAAACCATATCCTATACAAATCCAACTCCGCAGCAGCTCGGGTTATTCTCGTGGACAGTAGGTACGTCGCTTCACTGCACTGCGTCTAGACTCGTATCTCAAAATCGATGCCTGCTACGAGGTTCCCATTCAAGCCCTTGAGCAGGTTTTTGATTGCTACGGAAATCCATTGTCTATCCGACCTGGACGCGGCGCGGGAGGCTTACCGCAACTAAATGATTACATTAGACGTCGTGATAGCATCCGCGAGATGGAAAAGATATATCGCGACATGGAGAAGCAAGATGAATTATTTGAAGCGATGGAGAATTTGAATTTGAGCGATGGCTGAATAACGTTGCGAAATTCAGACCTTCCAATCCATCACTGTATCTACGAAAATTCGTTAGATATAATTCCATATCACAGGATACCCCAGAGTATCCACGGATATGTATCTGTTCGACAAACTGAACAGATAGTTCGCCTTAGGCTCCTGTATAAGGATCCCATAGGTGTGAGCAAGACGTCTCTAGGTTGTCTAGTGTTACTTGCTTGGCTATGCAGATGAGGCTTGCATGGTCCGATTGGAGGGTTCGAATGTGTGGATACGTGGTATGAGAGGGAAGTGGAGAGGAGGGGAGATAAGAGGGGTTGATTCGCAACGGGACAACATTCGTTTGATGGGCTTCAAGAATGGTGATTCTTTGCTTGCTACTGATACATTCATTCGTGGACGAGATGGTACTCTTTGCTTGATGTGGGAGAGACACAATCGTTAGCGTTGATGTTTTGGATGTGGGAAGGATTTTTAATAGTTTGAAATATTCGCTATCGCTACTTATTTCAAATGAGAGAATTTCCCGTATGATCTATCATGACGTGAAAATATCACAATACAGACACGTAAGTCCTGATCGTTTGAGTCGAGAGTATGAACCAGTTGTAGAACACAGTCCTAACCCATAGTACTGGTTTCAATCTCCTCCGGTCAACATCGCCTCACAAGTTTATCGTGATTGTGTGCGCTCACCAAGTTGGCATGCAATCAAACTACACGATAAAGAAAGTCTGATCCTTACTAATCTGGTCATACTTCCAACATGGATAGTCTTGCTCATCGATTTGCGACGCAAAGTACAGATCGCGGTACTCAGGACTAAAGTTCAGCATGCCTATCCGCCGAAACCTGCCCATCTCGCAAGATACAAGTTCAAGTAGCAAACAGTAACTGTTGGATAGACCATAGCTGCCTCGGTCATCATTGTCATACCAAGGCACGTAGAACAGTTTTTTCGAATCGTTCAGAATGGAAATTTCTGTTTCATTGGTTGTGAAATCGAGCCCGGCCCAAACAAACAGGCTTTGTCGAGCGTCCGAATCATTCTCGCGTTTTTCCAGAGACTCCAAGTCTTGTTTCGGCTCGGAAACCCCGATTGCATCAACGGGAAACACATGGAATATGTCTTGACCTCTTATCAGCCTCATTCGCTTTAAGACTCCCTGGACCATGACTTCGATGCATGGCGTTGATGGGGGCATGATAATGTCTTCGGTAAAAACATATCTTTCAGGGTCGGTGTGAGCATGAGTAAGCCACTTGACACAAGTTACCTGTGGTAAGATGAACTTTTCATCGGGATCCTCACCTTCAAGGTCTCTATCTTTAATGTGAACCCAGTAGCCGGAGATCCATGAAAACGTCAAATGTGTTGGCCTCGAGAAAAGATTATGTTGCTTAGAATAAGACATGTTTATCGTGCTTTTCCAAAGCATTTCGAGAGATAGACGACTAAGCCATAGTTCTGCCACGTACACATCTTTTATATTATCTTTTTTGAATTTCATTATGAATTGCTGAGCGATGCCTGCTATTGCTGCAAGTCTGTCACTCGGGAAGGTGAGCTCTGTGTCCGAATATTTCGACACCAAGTCGTACCAGGTCTGATAAAGCTTGTTGCTGCTGATCGACCTGGCGTTCGGCAGCAATTTCTTAATGGTAGGTGATGAGGTATTGTTGGCGCCCACGGAATTGGGAGACACAAGAGGCCTCCAGGGTACGACATCAAGTCCCATAGATTCACTCCAGCGTTTCTCATAACACTCGTACAGAACGATATCCTTGCAGAAGTAGATGTTCCTGGGACTCAGCAAGCGTTCTTGGAATACCCAGCCGCGCACAGCCAACTCAGAATCCTCAACCAACTCATCCCAAGCCCCATCCCCCTTTTCAGAAGACACTAGAAAAAATTTCTTCTGCCATCCAGTCTTGGACGGCATCTCAAAAGTAGCATGCTGCACCGTGCATGGATCTCTTTTCGCAAACAATCTGCCTAGTGTAGGTCCCCACGAGGCACAAATATTGAAGCATGCATTCGAATATACTTCATGCATCACTGGAGCCTCTCGTTTCCAATCTGCGAGCTCATCGCCCTCTTGAATGATACAGAGAGAATCAATCCAGAGATATTTGACTTTAACTCTCCTGACCGCTCTAATGGCATCCTGAAAAGTCTGAGAAAGGACTTCTGTCGGAATACTCTGTCTCCATAATGATAAATTGTCGACAGTTAGCCGTGCCATATTTTCCTTCCCCCAACGATGGCTTAGGGTAGCGTACTGCCTGTGCGTAGAGACTTGGGTACCATCCACGATTCGTAACTTGAGATCCTTCTTATTATGACTTTTGAAACAAGTAATTTCAAGCAGCCGAGTTGGACGCCAGACATTTGTGTGTCTCTCTCGACGGTTGGGGCATTGTATATGCTCGGAGGTACAACGCTCCAGCCATTTATTTATTTTTGCAAATGTCTCCTTTGAATCAGTTGAGCTCGAGGTGATCCTCCAGCTTGGTAGTAAATTTGACAGTTCTTTGCTAATGAGATTCATTCTGCCTTGAAAATGAGCACATGGGTAATACTCGTCCCCACACCAGAAACAGACGCTGAAGGAGTCCTCGTAAATCCTGTAGCCCATAAATACCGCGGGGGATATAGCACGAAATATCTGTGGGTTTGGCATATCGTGCTTAAAACATTCCCCGTGCCTCTTGTTTTGCGGAAGCTGTCCATCAAGACCTCGTAACTGTGACTGAAGATTCTTTGCTAGGTTGCAGAAGATCCGTTTGCAAATATAGCACCCATAGTCGGTGGAGCGAAGGAATGCTTCAGGTGAACGTTTGTCAATTTCCAGAGCCACTGACCAGATGTAACCTGAGGGACCGTCTGGTATGATATTCCAGTATAGACGCTTGGTGATAAAATCTCGACAATGTGCGCATAAATTCATGATAACGGTTGAGAGATTATCAAATGGTTGCAGCACAATATATAAAACAAAATTTATATATTGCTAGATCTATCAAGCTGTAGACAAGTTTAGCAAACAAGAAAATAGACTTTCGTTGGATATAGAATTATGATAAAACGTGGGTATCTTTGGGCAATAGCTGTACACGTATTAGTTATTACACGATGATGTGTACTTTGAGGTTCACAAGGGGCAAAATAGCCGATTTCATTCCCCGCTCAAATCGAGGTTCTGTACCGGGTTATCAGTCTACTCATGCAGCTTTCTATAGGTTTAATAGACTATATTGATTATCGATTTGTTTATATGATTTCCTATACCTATATTTGAAATGTTTTAATTGACTGCTTTCCTGTCGAAATCACTCCTCTTGAACTTCACTATAGTACGGCATGTAGACATTTTTGCTCAGAATAATGTTAAATAATAACAATCAGATTTCTTATTATTATCTAATCTATACTTTCATTTGTTAAATTTTAATTTTTTTTAAAAAAATATCATTCTAAAATAAATTTCAAAATGATTCAAAGATTTCAAAGATTTATATTAAAAAAGATTTAAAAAACCACCTCTACAAATCAGTAAAAGAACGCTCCCAATCATCTTCCACTTCTGAATCTTCTTGATTCGTCCAATCCATATCGTCCTCCCCACCATCTTCATTCTCATCCATCATCTCATCCTTTATCTCTTTTCCCTTCCCCTTCTCATTTTCCCTATTCTCTTCATCAAACTCACCATCCGACATCTCCCTCTCACTGACACTAACACTATCCCCATCAATCGTGAAATCATCACCGCTCTCTAACCCTTCATCTTCTCCAGAGCTTACAATTTCGAAATCACTTTCACTTCCACTTCCCGTGGGCGTCATAGCAGCCATATCATAACTTCCTGTCGAGAAGACACTTCCCGTATTACTTTCACTGTCATCATCCCACACTGTACCAATTTGACTCCCCACTTGACTCCCAGCTCCTATTTCTGTCTCAGTTCTCGCACTCCCGTCCTTAACATCCAAACTGCTATTTCTCTCACTTCCCATTCCTGTTCCTACCCCCAAAAATCCACTAGCCCCTTTATACATAACCCCCGGCGTCAATCCTCCCACATTAGCATAATAAGCGGGTGGTACATCCGCGCTCGTCACACCACCACTGCCATCGTCATTCCCCCCTGCCCAAAGCGGTAAGTACTGCCATTCCTTATCGGTTAAACAGAGTAGTGTATCCGTCAACATGTTGTTTTCTGATCCGTCTGGTTTGGAGAGCATCGAGTGACAAATTTGGTCCGTATAAGATTTAAGTTCGTCGAGGAAACAACAGAATTTGAAATTGTGAGGGGATTCGCTTAGTTGATAAGGACTGGAGTTGGCGGAGAAGGGCGTGGATGTATTAGCGAAGGTAAAGTTTGGGGTATCTTTCGATAGAAGAGCGGAGCTAGTTCCTATGTCTGGGTGCGAGATATCTGTGAATGGAGCGGCTCTGTATGATTTATAATCATCAAGCGATTTATGTCTCATATGCTGCAAAAAGTTCTCGAGAACCTTTGGTGCAGAATTCTTCGGCGTCTCTTTCGCCTCGGTTGAAGCTCCCGGCTGGGCATTAATATCATATTCATCCTTTATATTTTCGACCTTAAGTTTATTCTCTTTTGTGCGCAAAGGTAGATCAAGTAATGGCTTGGTCGAAGCGTCAGTTGAGACGGAGGATATTGATGCTACATCATCTGGTTTCTCATCAAATTCGGCAAGCTCAAGTTCTAATGCTCTAATACTTGCTAGACGTGCCTGGTGATATGCATGGTCTTGGTTGTATGCACTCATAAATGCATAATTAGGTCTCTCTTCATCTAGGCTCTTCGGTTCAGCTGCTGGGATAGTAGGTAACGGGTTCGAGGGCGAAGATGGATTGTAATTCTCCTTATGTACCGCAAGGTTGACCTCGCGATTAAAGTCGTTGACATAAATCTCAAGATGAGAAGTATTTGTCAGGCGCATATTATCCCTATCCACAAGGCTTTTGCCTGAACGAACCAGCTGCGGATTGTATAAGTTAAGTTTAGGGTTCTCAAAATCATCCTCCCAATATGTATCTCGAAGGCGACGCCAGAAATGTGGCAGTAAGACTCTTTCACGATCGCCAAGACTGTTGTAAATGTAATTTGGATCTGGACCCTCATTCGATTCATTTCCTGAAGCTGCATGCACTTCCCATTGAGCTTCGCGTTGGCTTTTACTTGCCATAGTGATCTCAAAGACTTCTAGTCCTTGATTCAAACAAGTAACAATTTTCCCTCGAACAAATCGACGAAGATTGACGAGTAACTGCTGAATAACCGACTTTCTTCTCTCATAGATGGCTTCATCTTTCTTGCTCTTATCTTTTTTTTTATAGCAATAGTCTTCAAACTTGCATATTTTCCTGTACTCTGGAAGTTCCAAAAACCAAGCCATTCTTTCATCCAACAAATCGGTGATTGTTTTTTGAACACGATCGCAGAAGTCTTGACTGGCATGTTGAATAACGTTCCACAAATCTTCATCAAGCTCTTCACGAGGCCGAAGATACTTGTACTCTGCTCGCCTACCAAGACCTGCACAAAAAGTTCTTGAAGCAACATTGAGCGCTTCTTCGGAAACGAGAATTGAGAACGCAGCTCTTGTAATCATAGGTGATTTCAAGCCAAGCCCAATATTTATACTGGCTTCGGGAAGAACTTCGAGGAATTTGATATTATTTCCATTCATGATCCATGAGGTTATGTAGTCAATCTGAAATGAAGTTAGACTTAAAAATGTCGAAATGAAGGAATGATTGCTTACCACAACGCTTGTACATTCATAATACTTTGCCAAAACAAATAATGTCCATACTTTTGGCGCAGAATCCAGTTTAGGTGCTCTACCTTGAATGATTCTAAGAAGATTTTCGACTCCAAATCGATGACGGATCGGACAATAATCTAGGACCCTTTTCTTTGACCCCGCTACTTCGGTAGAGTCATGATGAGCAGTTCCCACCGGGTCACTTCCCGAAGGCCCAATAAACAAATGACCATCTTCCAGGCTATTCTTAATAGCTCTCTGCATATTCGAATCTTGGACAGACTTGTCACAAACAAAAGTATCATCTTTAGGTACCGTACGACCCAAAGATGTAAAAACAAATTTATCGTTGACATGCGAGTTCATCCTTGACTGCGAATCAAGAAAGGCTATGTAGCCGTCTACCGGGACTTTCAATCCAAATTGTTCGGCAGATTTAGCTGGTACAATTGCAGGTCCAGGAATATCATCATCACCAGCAACCAGATGCTTTTCGACACCACATCGCTTCTCAGCCAAGTACCAATTCCTAATTCCTGCCGAGCAGGATAACTCTGATACCAATTCGACTGCCTCATCACCTTCTTCTAGTGGTGTAAGATCAAGTACATATCTGACACTTTCTGGAAGATAATGTAAAAGACCCTTTCTCTTTCTCGCCCAATATTGTGGTCGTTCTTCGAACATCCGAGAGAATTTTGTTGAACCAAGAGCTTTTAATTTGTCGCTACTGGCTCGATAAATTTTGTATGGTTGTGGTTCCCCCTTGAAATCGTAGAAAGTAATGCCTCCCGGATATGAGACGTATACCAGAGTATCGCCTTCATCCAAAAGCGATTTGCTGTACTCGACTGCATTGTGATCTCTCTCACTGAGCTCTTGTCGAGCTTTGCGTTGTTGCTCGCCGGCATCCCCCCACTCTGAAGTCAAAAGGGGTCGCACTATTTGACAATATATCGTTAGTATGGAATCAAAGTTTATTAGGCCAGGCAGATGTGAAGAATGATTAACTCAAAGATACGTACCATCATTTGAACTGGGACCACCTTTTTGATCAACGCTTTGATCAGACTCATCTGTTTGACCTGGAAATCTTGAAATATCTTGATATCCATCATTGAATTTCATAGGTGGAGTTTTTTCTTCGTCTTTTCGTTCCATATTTTCTGTTTCTCCGGGAAGTTTTAACCTTTCACGAGATTCATTGGTGATTGATTGTTTGATGACTGCCTCTTCCGAATCAACTTTCTCGATTTCCATTTCGGAGAACTCGAACATGTCATCTGAAGCATTCCAGGTGATTGCTCCAGGAGGAGATCTATTGTTCTTGGATTCGGAATCTTCCATTGTCGCTATTGAGGCGAGTAACTGAATGAATGAGAGTAAACTTGTTGACTTGGTCGTCCAACCGAAGTTACGAGATGATACTCGGATTTGAATATGTGGCGAGAGCAGGGAATCAATAAGGCTGAGGAGACAAATGTAGGTCTAGGCAACCACAAGACCGCCTTTTCGGAACGATAGCAGAGACCAGCAATATAAGTTATCAGTTCAACTCTCCAATTCAAGGTATTCGATAGTCCAGTACACGAATCCAGATACGCGGTAAGAGTAAGAAATCAACAAGGCTGAGGCAAAAGAGAGATAAATGCAAATCTAGGCAACAACACGACCGCCTCCTCAAAACGACGTCTAGTTTAACATAAATCGGCCAATAAATCAAACATAAAGAGGTCGAAGATCAAAAATTCCGAATAAAGTATAACAAGTTCACAAGTTCACAACCAACTCAACAAGAGTGAATGGATAAACTGGACTCTAATCTATTCCACACCGGTCGGGAAAAAAAAGAGGTAAGCCTTCTTTCTCACCATCCATCCAAAGAGTCAAGCTACAACGTGATAAGGCGGGGTAAGCTAGACTGGGCTAGTTAGCTAGTCTAGTTCAGCACAGGGATAACCAAACCCAACCATTAGTAAAGAGGGCTATCCGGTCACAAGCCACAGGGAGGCCCACAGCGGTCTGAGCTGAGGCGGTTTATAGGGTCTATTCTAAGCCTGTCAATGATGCATAGCGTGTTTGATGATTGCGACCGAGCGAGTGTAGCTGTCATTATTAGTTGAGCCTCAGTGGAATTAATTGACCGACTGGAAGACAACTTGATTTTTACTGGATTCTCTTAAGTTGATTGTGGATTCGGATTCAGATCGATGATGGATCTAGAAATGGAAATAGATGTGTTGATTCATGCTAATTAGACGTACTTGACAAAATTGTATATCGTAAAATTGGATGTATATATTTGAGTAGATACCTATTGATAAAAGGTGCAAGCAAGTGAAATTTCATATAGAGAAATGTATTTGGAGAAATTTAAATTTGATTCCTTGGCTGATAGTCTACCTATGAGTAGGTATTGAAGTGAGTCTTCGTAATAAATCATATACCCCCCTTTCCCATGATATCTAACGCCTATCCCATCCCATCCCATCCCATCCCATCCATTATAGCATTTGTATTCTTTACATTTATCTCAATCTTTCAGCAATTTCATTCTATCCAATACATCATCCCAACTAACATTGAACGATAATCTCTCTCCTCCCCTCAAATCCTGGTAGTCCCAGTCCCCTCGGGTTTCCCTTACAACACCTCATAAACGCCACTCTCGCCGCCGCATCCCATCCCATTTCAATATTCCTACACCTAGTCTCCTCAGCCAATGATGCTCCCCCCTCTAACACTCTATCCACCTCCGGCCTATCCTCTTCTATATCCACCAATCTCTCCATAACTTTCCCCACCGCCCCAGAAAATCCTCTTATTTCCCTCCCACCCAAATAATCATACTTCCCCCTCTTCAACAACATCGAAACTGCAATTCGCCTTAAATCTCTATCTCGAATTTCCCATGCCACAACCATCGATGGAATCACAGTCGCGAGTTCGAAATCTCCGTTTTCCTCTAGCGTTTTTCTCCAACTTGGGGTTGAGCGTAGTATTTTAGCAATTTCTTTTAGCTCTTGTAATTGTGCTGAAAATCTTCCCTCGGCAACGTCAAGACTATTGAGGTGGTTCGATGAAGCAATAAGAATGTATCCAGAAAGCCAATTCATTCTTAACATATATGCCATTAACAGATCCGAATCTTTATCACAGTGAAATTTATCATTGGACTGGCATCTCTTTTGGCGGTCTTCGAAAAGAGGCGAGAAAGATCGATTCCAGCGTTCGTATTCCCTTAATGTTCTTTTCTCCTCCTCAAATTTAGGATCAATATCAAAGAATAATCCATTATCGCGAGAATGGTTTTCCTGGCCATTATAATATGCTGAAAAATCATGTCGTTTAAGAGTCGAAGCCAACCACTCCATGCTTTTCACCATAACCCTTTCCAAATCATTCTTCGCCTCTGTAAGATTGGAAAATCGGCCCGGCATCATTTCAATATCTGGTTCTCCTAGACTTGTCCTTCTTTCATGTTCTGGTTTTGCATCCGCGTATCGTAAGATTCGGGATTCCAGACGACTAAAGCATTTCAAACAAGCAGTTTCCGACATCGATCCGAGACGGCCACCTTGGGGGATATATGTCCTGACTACCCACTCACGAAGTGCTCTTAGTCCCAAGTACATAGTCGAGACTCTTTCATGGCTGATGACCTCGTTACCGCTGGCCAACATATTAGAAAGTAGATGGGTGATGAGTGTTGTTCTACTTTCCACGTCTATATCAATGATTCCTGCGCCTATCCCCAGGCCCTCCGAAAATGGCACTGTTCTCTTTTTTGTCAAACATTTCGTATTGCAATATTCGTGGTAAGTAGCCATGTGTCTAAAGGTTCCTATATGAACTCCCCGATTTTTCGGTCGTAAATCGAGAGATCCAATCATGTGTACAGCATCAAAAACGAGCGACGAAGATTGACATCCAGAGAATATGAGACCCCACCAAACTTCAAAGTGACCTGAACCTCCCGTAATCTCTTTCACAAAATTTCGGAAACATGCTTCGGCACTTTGATCTCTCCATGTCGAGGGTGGAGAAACGGAAGATTCTGGCTGTGATAAGATAGAAGAGGCCGTGGAAGCCACAGAGGTGGGAGAAGTAGCGGGACTTATGGGCAGATATCCAGTTCTTGGTATCAGCGTTCGTGGCGCGATGTTGGTTCCAACAGTGGGCTTCACACTGGATCTCTGAAGATAAGCGTAACCTTCGCATTTATGTCCAAATCGTACACATCGCATACAACCTGGTTTTGCCTCATCGCATTTGACTCTTCTCGATCTGAAATGTGCTCAGTATATCGCCTTGAAAGGTATGAATAAACATGGTTTGGATGAGAGTGGCGATGAACATACTTGCAAGTCAAACAACCAGTCTTGACCTTCGGTTTACTCGCACGAGAGCGTCTAACTTTGGGTTGTGATATCGGTGCAGTTGATGTTGGACATGTTTGTGGAAGAGCATATATCTGGTTTGCCATTGATACAACTTCCGGCTATCGATCAATATCGTATCATTAGCTTTGTGGTTGCTCGATTGTATTCTCGCAGCTTATTCACTCTGCTTATACATGACAAACATGAGCGTTGTAAAGCAACAAAAGTATGAAAGGATTTCGAACTATGAAAATCGAACTAATTTCAACCGGCGCACCCACATATATCATTCGATCCTGCGGCACACCATCTTCAAGCTGTGCTTCGTACACTAATAAGATGGGTGATATCCACCTTAGACCATGCTTGGCACATTCTCCACTCTTACCCTCCCTCCCGAGTTGATGGTTCCTCCCCAGTGTCCCCACAAGCGCTTACTGCTCAGGCTTCAGCTCCCCCCACCAATGAGCTTTCACTACCCCCACGTTGTGAATGACATATGATCCATTATTGAGTCTCTTCAGCCAGTAAAAGAGATTCTTTACCAACAAGATACGAGAGAAATGTCCTGTCAATCTTTCGAAAGGGCTAATCTCAGCGGGGGGGATTAAAAATGCCAATCATGCATCCTCGTAATAGCGACGAATAAGAAATAGAGGCGTAATGAAACGAACGAAAAAGGAATAAGGAATAAACGTGGTGGGTGGATACGGGGTGGGTCTGCACTGTAACCTTATTATTTCTGGCTGCAGTAGTTTGATTGCTTCAATTGCTTGCGTGTTAACTGTTTGTGAAGTTGTGATACCTCAATGCATTATGGTAAGCACTACAATACCTTGCATTTGGCTATCGTAGCACTTTCTCTTACGAATGATGAATCTCGGTATTCGCACTTGAAATGCTTTCCGATAGCGATAGGAACGATTATATCAGAAAACAAACGCGGCAATCTACTTGAAACATTCGCTTTAACACCCCAGCTGTCAGCATGCGTAGTACATCCATTTGGTAAAGCCACAATCCAAATCTATGAAGTGGTGTACAAGATGGTCAAATAATATCAAATACGAGAAGTAAAAGTATGCAACCAGCATGAAATGTTGAACGTTGAGGGCAAGTCGCGGCTCTTGGTGTTGAGAAGGGTGCTCAGCATTATACGGAGCAGGACAATAAATTCGGATGGAATCGCATGCGCGTGCTCATTACTGGCGCTGAGGTTACATTACACACATTATCCCCGGTCATCGGGATTGATGGAAAATGAGTGATCGCAGCAGATTCCTTCCTTTTCTTTCGACAAGGGTTGTATTTGAGGTACGACACAACAAATGGTAGGACTGCCATACACAACCAAATGTTGGTTCTTAGGTGCATTATTGAATCGTTGAACAATGAAGGCGGGGTTGAAGTTGAATGCGTCCCATTTGAACCAATCTACTCAATTATCGTATGATAGCCTTCCAATCCCCCGTGGTTGACCAAGTTTTGCCGTTACTACAATGTAAGGCTATTGATTGACGCCTTTGAGGTGCCGAAGCGAACGCTGTAACGTCAACCAGGGGGGTACTTGATGACAGGAGGCCTTTATTGGTAATGCAGCGCATTATGAAAAGGTAAGTGCTAATCCTCTTTCCTTTTTATGCTTCCTTCGGCAGATATAAAAAAATGATAATGGTTTGCGGAATATGACAACTAAATGTTTTTCTTCGTGCGATCGTTGAATTGCTTGCAACATTAGTTGTCGTGGACGTGATCTAGGTACCGTCGACCTTAGCTCAGCCTACCATGTCGCCTTGTGGCGGGAGCTTTTATTTAAGTCTTAGATGTCCGCCGAGTACCGTCGTATTCGGTGGTGATTCCTATTGGTTAGCTTATGGTTAAAAATTCGAGGATTAAGAAAGCATTCTATAGGTGTGAAACATGGTTGAAGCAGACACAGAGTACTTGAGCTCTAGTGAGTGCCCATGAATTAAATGAACAGTTCACCACTGCACTCCTGGAATCTTCCTTGATCTGTGTGGTTAGCATTTGTCCAACACATAGGATAGTTGTCTAGTCTGGATCAGTGAATGCACGTCCGAGGACGATGGGGATGGTAGATGAATGTTAAAGGGCCGCGATTAAAATGGCAGGCTGAGATGGATGCCCAAGGTTACACAAAATGTGGTGAGCTTTCTGACCAGCAAATGAGCAACGACACGTGATATGATGACGAGGTTCCTTAATGACAGGCTTTGTAATTGAACGTTTATTGCGGTCAATTTTGACAACATTGCAGAGAACTCGGATCGACGTTTGATTTGAAACCAACCTGCGCGTTTGACAATTTTCTTGAAGAAGTGATGTCAGATCTATATCAGAAACATGCTTCTTGTTGTCTCAATTAAACTCCCAAGTTCCGTTGTATGGCATGTTATGGAGGCTAGTGTAGTTAAGTGATTGATATGATGACTTAGTCCAGCGTAAACTCTTATCTCCGAAGGCTCACACCTGAAATCAATATTATAATTTGTTATGGAAGGTATTGCTAGTGGATCGAACGTGTAATTGGCCGTGTGTTTGCCAAAGTATTCTATTGTGGGATTGGATGTGACTATAGAACGGCCTGAACTTGGAGATTACGCAGCAGAGTGGAACTGGTTCAGACTCTTAGAGTTGCCGCTGCAAAGGAAATAGTCTCGGGTGCTGAGCAACTCACTCGAGTATTCTGTCTGATTACTACCAGTGATTAGCCCTGAACTATTGTTCGCTTGAATTCTAGCAATTGAATTCACTTACCTACCAAAAACACGAACATATTACTGATCGTCGAAGGATCGAATGCTTGAAACATATTTAAATACTTTGGCCAGGAATCGGGCCTTCAAGATTGTGTTAGAAAGCAAGGAGCCTCTGATGGGCATAGAATGGAATGGTACCCTGCATTGGAGGGGTTCGAAGGCTATCCATACCTACAAACAACTGTTTTTCGCGAATACTATCCAATATTTACTCACGGGCTAGCAGCCATCTATCGAGCATTGTTCTGCTCCAACGAGACCTTATTGGGTAGATAAATGCTGATTCGTAGCGCTGCAGAGGGTTCATTTATTATCGTAGAATGCAACTCAGTCAAGCATCTATAATGCTTCATGAACTGCCCTTCTTTTCATTGCAATCACTCTTTGGCAAATTTCCATATATGGAGTTATCACCAACTACCTAGGTAATTCATACACGCAGGGTATTTGCGGTGATTAATTGGCAGGATCCTATGTCAGAACTGGATGTGATTGCGAACCGACTGCAGATGCATATGCTACCAATATTTCCGCCTGGAAGTAAGATAGAAATAGAGTTATCGACGCTCGACTTGACTGGTATCACATTAATCATTAATCATTAGTCTATCCTCTATTTAAGGTATTTCCAGCGCCCCTAGAAACATCATTAGTATCCATTCCCAAAACTGGAAGAAGCTTCAACTTACTTTGGATTATCCTCTGTAAATTCATCCCACTTTCTAGCCTTTTCGGTCTCCTCGTCCATTTTCTCGAAATCATCAGGATCAATCTCAGGTATAATACCACTTGCCTCTCCACCTCCTTCAATTATACCACCCCTCGCTCTCTCTTCTTCCAGATATTCATCTATTGTCATAGTCGGTAAATTATGCCCTGGTCTGAATACACCCTTTTGTAATGCTTGTCTACTTTCTAGTAGAGTAAATGGCCGTAATGGCTTTCCTCCAGTACTCAAGATTGGCCCTTTGTTATTTGTAGTAATATCTCTCATATCCAAGCGATCCGAATATCCTGCGTCTGGTCCGCGCAGACCTCCTATCCGTTCCCTGTCATCCGGTTGCTGACCTTGGGGAACTTGTGGTCCCACAGGTGCCATAGCCAAGATCTCGAGTTCGCGGTTGATGGATTCGAGTGATTGAAAGGCATTATGCGAACACAAGGATAGTTTGGCAATTTCTAATTCGCGGATGGCATCTTCATCGTTTTGTAGATAGGCTGGATTTGCTGCCAGAAACTGAGATTGTTAGCATGTTGCACCAAATCAGAAGATTCGTTTGAGGGCTGCTCGGCATAGAATAAACCCAGCGTGAGCCGAAGACACATACATCCAGCTTCTTTTTAAGTTCCTTCTCCATCTTAAAATTTGCGATTTTTGCATTCCTTCTTGCAGTTGGATCTGTGGTGGAAATGGTTGAGAACGTAGATGGCGATTCTTGATATTCAGCATACAACTTCTTTTCTGCAGTAGATAGCATCTCATAATATCCTAGTTGAGTTAAAAATGCTTCATAACATTTTTTTGCCTCTTGTAAAATTACTTTTCGATCACTAGTATTTGTGGAAAGTCGTTGACCCAAATCTGCGATCCTGTAAGGAATGACCAAATATCTAAAGAGGAGCATTAGCTTGCTGCCCTATTTTCATGCGTATGAACATACTGTATATCACTAGAATTGACATCTTCCAAAGTTTCGTTTGGGCTGAATAATGCAAGTCTATCTGCAAGCTGCCGACATTCTTGGTATGCAGTGAGCGCATTCGCAACATCTTCCTGATATTTTTCTGTATTTGTATCCCATGATGATTCAATAGCCAGTCTTTGGCGCTCTGCTGAATTGAAGAGGGTTTTGAGAGAACTATCTGCCATATTCAAAACAATTCGAAGGATATATGCGGGTTTGGGGGTCGGGAGATACCAGGTATATGATGAATAATTTGGGAGAGCGTCAGGGCAACAGTGTGATGTTGTGGTGGGGGATTAGCTGTAAAGCCCAAAATTGCTGGAGAAATGCGGCCGCCTCCAGTGGATGATGGCAGACCGCCTTCCCGATTCACTCAGATTTGGCAGATCTATAATAAATTCTCCACAATAGGTAAGTGAATCTACTAGGTACCTAGTAGGCACCTAGGTAAACTCAAGATATAGCTTATTTAATAACAAAAACGAACTCACTTTCCTTATACAATTCTTCTCTAAATTTATATATCTTCATTATTTCCAAATCGGGAAAGATCTTTAGCATATTTCAGCCACTAGCAGGAGCGCAAGCGAAGGATGCCCCACAGATAATGAGAAACTTATCAGCAGCAAAAAGTCTTCATTGTTATTGTTGATCTTTTCGCATCAGATGAACCTCCAGTTGGGGAAGGAGAAATTCACTTCTTCTCAATATCACAACCAGATAAAAAATTCAATTTCTCTCATCTCTCAACACTCT